AACAAACTCTACATGAAAAAGAGACTGTTCCGCTTCAACTATGTACCAGGTACCACTATGAATGATCACATTACTAGCTTTAATCAGCTGGTGACTGATATGATGAATATGGACGTGACTTTTGAAGACGAAGATCTGGCTCTGATGTTGATGGGATCACTTCCTGATGAGTTTGAGTATCTTGAAACTACTCTACTTCATGGGAAGGTTGATGTGTCTCTCAGTGAAGTAACTGCTGCCTTATATAGTTATGAATTGAGAAAGAAAGACAAACAAGAAAACACAAGTGTCGAAGCAGAAGCTCTTGTTGTTAGAGGCCGTTCCAAGAGTCAAAATAAAGGAAGCAGAGGGAGATCGAAGTCAAAGTCCAGATTGAGCAAAGATGAATGTGCATTTTGTCGAGAAAAAGGGCACTGGAAGAAAGAATGTCCCAGGCTAAAGAATAAAGGCAAACCTGAAAGGGGGAAGGCTGTCTCAGAATCAAATGTGGTCGAGTATGATGATGGAGATTCAGATTTCGCATTCGCTGCTACACCATCAACCAGCTGTTCCAGTTCATGGCTGTTAGATTCAGCTTGTAGCCACCATATGACCCCCAATAGAGAATGGTTCTTTGATTTTAAAGAACTAAAAGCTGGAATTGTCTACACAGCAAATAATTCCCCTCTTGACACACTTGGGATTGGTTCAATTCGCTTGAGGAATCAGGATGGATCAATCAGAACCTTAACAGGTGTCAATTATGTACCAGATTTAATGAGAAATCTCATCTCTGTGGGAACCTTAGAGTCAAAAGGTTTAGAAGTGAGGGCAAAAGATGGGATTATGAGGATTATCTCTGGTGCACTGGTGATAATGAAGGGAATCCGAAAAAAAAAACGATGTGTATTACTTTCTGGGTAGTACAATTGTTGGGACAGCATCAGTGGCAGCTTCTACTGATGAACAGGAGTCAGAAGCAACCAGGTTATGGCATATGCGCTTGGGGCATGTTGATGAAAAATCCTTGAAATTACTGATAGATCAAGGATTATTGAAGGGTGCTCGGGCTTGCAAATTAGCTTTTTGTGAGCATTGCATCAAAGGGAAGAAGACGAGGGTGAAATTTGGAACAGCAATCCATGATACTAAAGGTATTTTGGATTATGTTCATTCAGATGTATGGGGGGCTTCCAAGACAACTTCATTGGGAGGAACACACTATTATGTCACCTTTGTTGATGATTTTTCCCGGAGAGTTTGGGTGTATCCAATGAAGACAAAGGATGAGGTGCTAGGATTTTTCCTTAAATGGAAAAAGATGATGGAGACTCAAACAGGCAGAAAAATCAAACGTCTCCGTACAGACAATGGTGGAGAGTACAAAAATGATCCATTTCTGAAAGTCTGTGAAGAGGAAGGTATTGTTAGGCACTTCACTGTCAGAGGTATACCACAACAGAATGGAGTGACAGAGCGTATGAACCGGACATTAGTGGAGAAGGTTCGGTGTATGTTGTCTAATGCTGGGTTAGGCAAAGAATTTTGGGCTGAGGCTTTGGTCTATGCTTGTCACCTTGTCAACCGCTTACCATCGACTGCTATTGGTGGTAAAACACCATTAGAGAAATGGTTTGGAGTACCTGCTACAGATTATGATTCCTTACATGTGTTTGGTTCCACTGCATACTACCATGTTAAGGAGTCAAAGCTGGATCCAAGAGCAAAGAAGGCGATTTTTGTGGGATGATTAACTAAGGAGGAGGAGGGCTTTATTTATAACAAAAGAATTTGATACACATACCTTCGGTGAAGATAAAGATCAATGGTATTGGAACTGTGAAATTCGGGTTAATTTCCACTAATAACAGACGTACTTAGGTAAGAATAAATATCCAGAGAGTAGTTTGATACACATACCTTCGGTGAAGATAAAGATCAATGGTATTGGAACTCCAATAATCCCCCAAAGTAAGCATGTAAATGTTTGTACCTAAAACAGAAGGATATCAATTAGCAGCGGAAACAATAACACAAAGGCATAAATACTCATCGGGTTTATCAACGAAGCTTGAATTTTATAGCAACCTGGAAGAACATAAGCATCCACAAACACAGCTTCCAAAACACTACTTAAAGACAAGAAATTCTTCTCGTACATCGAATCAATTGTAACTGTGTTAGGAAGCTTTGCTCTCCTATGTTTTCATCTGATTTATGATCTCTGGTCTTTTCTTTGGAAACAATCAATCAGGTTGAAGACTTAATAAAAAACAGAATTATAGAAAATTCAAATAAATCAAGCTAAATTTCAATCGATATAGCTGTAATACAGTTGGAAAAATAATCCAAGATTGCAAAGTCAGACTTCCAAGAATGCCGTTTATTTTTTCCCCTTAATTTGTTTAATAAACTAAAGTAACCAAAAGTAGCTCAAAATAGATCGATAAAATTAACCGGAAATATCAAAGTCAACAAAAGAGAACTGAGTCTATGAACTCCAATTGGTTAATCTAGATATATTTAAGGAAAATAAACAGTGAATTTCTAAGATGCCGATTCTTTCTCTTTAATGTGATAATCAACTAAAATGACTAAAAGTGGCTAAATATAGATCAATAAATTTAAACGGAAATATCAAATTAAACAAAAGAGAATAGATACTACGAAATCTAATCGATCAATCTAGACCATAGTTCGTCATAACGAAGCAAATCATCAAAACCGTGCAGCAAGCGTAGTACCTGAGAGAGATCGGCGAGCAAAATAGCAGCAGTAACACCACTCGAGTAAGAAATACAAGTTTTGAGGATCCGAGACGCGAACCAGCCCCATCCAGCTCCAGTGTAACCGTCTTCATTTACACTAGGATCCTCATCTTCTTCAGGAGACATGACCGACCTAGCGTACTCGATAAATGCGAGAAACGGATCTTCTTCTGCATCGCTATCTCGTTTTCGATCATTATCGATTTCCATTAGCGAGGCTCCATTAGAGCTAGTCTTCATCGCAGAGTTTCTACAGAAGCTAGAGAGACTTATCGGCGGCAGAGAACGGATTTTTGTTAGTACTTTGTTTTGGGAGGGAATCTTGAGAAATTGGTTTCTTATAATTTTCATATTTTTGGCGGGAGAGAAATGTTTAGGTACAGTCAAGAGTACTTTAGCGTTTTGTGAGCTCAATCGACAAAAAAACCTCGGAATGGGCTTGGATAAGTAACATAAAGCCCTGTTTTTCTAAAAGGCTTATTGTAATGGGCTGGGACTCCTAGCAATCTTGACGTTAAAGGTGAAAGTATTGTACAGGTCCTTGTACTTTGTATAGATTGCATTTTGGTCTCTAAACTTTTAAAACGAGTAAAAGGACTACTCATTAGGGAGGAAGTTAAGATTTAATATTAGGAGAAATAAATTATTTAATATTAAAATAATAGAGATCCATTAAGAATTTAGTGTAAAGATATTAATAAAAAGTATATTTGATCTGAATCTTACGAGTTTTGACGTAATTTGATCATATATTATTAAGTTTTCTAAAAGAAATAATGTTAAAATTATCTCCAATATTTATTAAAATGGTCATTTTAGTCTCTATTTTTTTAAAAAGTAATTTGGTCACCAATGTTTTTTGAAGTAATATTAAAATGTTTTTTAAGGTAAAAAAACCCCTAACATTTGATAGAATATTCACTAGTTTGACTCTTACTTTTTTCTAGAGCATTTTGGCCCTTAAAGTTTTATTTTAGGTAAAAAAAAGTCTATACTTTCAGAGTCTTAATCGTGTGTTAACTAACAATGTATATATATAGACAGATCTTTTTGCTTTCAAAAAGAATAATATGAGTCAAAATGACTATTTTGATCAATATTGGAGGATGCTTTTAGCATTATACATAAAAGATCAGTGTCAGGTCGATTTTTTGGGATCATGTCGTGTTTTTTGACCCGACCCGTAAACTTTTAATCCACCATGTATTCTCATATTTTCACCGAACAAATTACACGATAAATTTTTCGAACAGAACCATATAATTTTTGAATCTCCAACCTAAGGCATGTTATGTCAGGTGAGAAAACACGTTATATGTTTAAATTCAATGAGAATTAAAGACATAACACATGGGGTGGGTTTACTTCTACTTTCCTTGATACCAAACATTAAAAGCTGCAAGAGGAAATAAAATCGTTCAAGTCTTTCCTTAATTAATACTAGCCATCATCACCTTCGTACATTTACATGTTCATCGGGACCCATATCATTGCTCGTTGGGTGACTATCATTAAACAATGGTGGGAATTTACGACCAACTCAAGATATATAAACAAAAAATTTATTTGAGCAAATTAAATTTTAATGGTTAAAATTTATTTAGTAATTAAATTCATTTATAAATGAAATATATTTGTGTTAAATACTGATTCAAATATTTGATTATACAAATATAAAACAAGACTTAATCTTTATAATTATACAGTGGTTGATGTACATGTTTTTCAAGGTGGGTATGAACCCACTTTAAAATATGAGTTTCTTTACGATATTATTTCGTTTTACTAATGGTACTTATCTTGAAAATTTATTTGTGCACATCTCATATGAACACATTTATGCTATTATTCTTGAATTTATCACTGAAATTATGAATTATTATTCTTTTAACTCATAAAAATAATATTAAATCTCGTTAAATGTTACACCTTCTTTTTCTATACTAATCTCATTTTTATGTTAGGTTAAAAAAATTTAACAACCCGAATGAAGAAAGTACGTAATATTCACGTATGAAAGGAGAACCATCAAAAACCCCGACAGCACAAACAAACTATCTCAACAACAATACTAAATTATGAGAAACAGTAGGATCGGCTGTGGTGACGGTGTTGGAGCAGCTCTGGCAAGCATTATGGATTAGCTAGCTATAGGATACTGAGTAGTGGTAGTAGTTGAGAAGACGATACTACATTAAATACGATGCCACTGTCCAGCTTAGTTATTAGGGTTTGATTTTTTTTTTCAAAGTTAGATACTAAGATCTTCAACTAACCCGCTGCATGCATTTATGATTCATATCGAGTTTAGTGTGTGTGTTTGTATATAAATGAGGTTGCTCGCTATGTATCTTCATGCTCAAAGTTGATAGAAATCAAGAGTTGGGATTTACATTTAAGGAAAATGGCAGGGAAAGGGAGAGTGATTTCCAAAAGATTTGGAGTGTTTGCTTTGATGTTTGTGTTTGCCATAGGGATAGCCCATTGCCGAAGGTTTGAGAAGGATAATTTCGGTGGTGGTTTGGGTGGTGGTGCCGGAGGAGGGCTCGGCGGTGGTGCTGGTGTAGGCGGTGGAGCTGGTGGAGGGCTTGGCGGTGGCGCTGGTTTAGGAGGTGGAGGGGGACTTGGTGGTGGTGGAGGAGCAGGAGGAGGTCTTGGTGGCGGTTTAGGAGGCGGAGCAGGTGCTGGTGGTGGTTTAGGAGGTGGAGTTGGAGGAGGCCTTGGTGGCGGTTTAGGAGGCGGAGCAGGTGCTGGTGGTGGTTTAGGAGGCGGAGCAGGAGGTGGAGCTGGAGGAGGTCTTGGTGGCGGTTTAGGAGGTGGAGCTGGCGGTGGTTTAGGAGGTGGAGCAGGTGGTGGTGGTGGTGGTGGTTTAGGAGGCGGAGCTGGAGGAGGTCTTGGTGGCGGTTTAGGAGGTGGAGCAGGTGGAGGTTTCGGAGGTGGTGCTGGTGGAGGAGCTGGAGGCGGTGCAGGTGGTGGTTTCGGAGGCGGTGCTGGCGGAGGAATTGGGGGAGGATTCTAATTCCAAAACGTGCATGGCATGGTTGCAAAACCATGCAAATTCCTCATGAGGTGGTGCAATTCTAAGCATGCAAATGCACTTTTATAGTATGATCAGTAATTATCGAGCAAAATAATAATGAAAAACGAAGCTGCAAAATGCTTCTTAGGCTTAGCTGCAAATTTCTATGCAAAATATGTATTTTCTTTTTAATTATTAAGATTTATTCACCATCTGTCGCACCAAGATGATAAGTGCATACAATTGTTGTAACTCTATCCTATTAAATATATTTGAATAAATTCAATCAAGCACGCTATGCATCTTACGGTATTATTAGAGTGTAATTGTTAAATCATTAATCTAAAATTAAAAATAAAGAAATTATTATCTAATTTGTTTAACATTAAAATGAAAAGCATCTACAAGGATTTAAATTGAAATAATGTTAGGTTAAGACTTAATTCGTCTACTTTTAAAATTAAGAACGACCTAAAAATAATTGTGCCAAAAGGGATAAGGATCTACTTCACCTGGTTTAAAATGGATCATACATGGAACATGTTCTTCGTCTGCGAAGTTACATGTCGAATCTCAGCATTGATAATCTTCTTGTTGTTCAACGTCGCGTCGGCCGAGAAAATTCGGGCGATCTTCATGTTCGGAGTTTCGATAGTCGCCGTCGAAAACAACAATTACATCAAGACGTTAGCGAAAGGTAATAGAAGAAATTGCACTATGATATTGATTACTCCAAATCCCAACCACTAATGGTAGAACAGTAATCAATATCATAGTGCAAGTTCTTCTATTACCTTCCTGTTCTGTTCAAAGCATGGTGGGTCTAAATGTCTCTGAGTCTTGGCCTCTAGGCGGTGTTGCAGGTTTTTAAGTTTGCAGATTCTCTCTTGTCACGGCAGTCCTAAATTTTGTGGGTGTGTTATGTTCGGTTGGCACCGTCCTGCTTTGAGGATGGTTCCGTTCTTGTTTGTGTCTGGCTGTTGAGGTGGTCCCGGTCGTAGGGATGTTTACACAAGATGTTGTGCGTGTCTATTGTTGTAAAGTTACTGTTTTATTCTACAGTTATGGGTGGTTTTCTTTGTATGTGCTAGGTGCATATCGGTGATGCTGATTTCCAGATTATTAGGAGTATGTTAGTGCTGTATGTTGTGGTCTCGGGTGTTTTTTCACCTTTGTTCAAGCTTACTAGGATGAATGTACTCTTTTACTCCATTTAAAGTTTATACCGAGGCATTCATTCTTAGTGTTTTCATCATCAATAAAAATAAACTTTACTGAGAAAAAAAAAAGAATCAGGCATTGTTCACCGTCGTTAGCGGTTCCAATGATTACCTTTTTAGACAAGAGAATATTTCCTTGAAGAATGTATGGGCTTGTGGGTGGTATTTGAACATTATGAGTTTGAGATTCTAATCCCAACTCAGAGTTAAAAGAGCTCGCATTCGTATCATATCTATTTAATTTATCTCAGAAAATCTTATCGTTAGAACATCTTGTTGGTCTAGGAGGGATAATTAAAGGTCCATCTAAAATGATTCGGATCATTTCTCGTATCAAGATCGACATGACAAAAAAATTCTCACTCACCCGATCAAAAAATTATAAATTGAATCTAAGTATTTTTAATGAAAATTTCCAATTTTATCCCTCGTCTTCAGGTTAAAGATGAACATTTGACCCGAATTAGATTAATTCTGACCTAATTCTATGGAATCAAGCTCTTTTTAAAAAATGGGGTTCAAGTTAGATTTAATTTTTTTAATGTTAAGTCGGATTGGTCAGATTTAAGGCTAAAAGTATTCTATCTAACCCAAAATAAAAATATAATTGATTTTTATATATTCAAATACAATTGATATAATATCACACTCTCTATATTCTTTCAGTTAGGTCCCTTTTTCACTAATACAAAATATTTTTTTTGTTATATATATTTATATCGGGTCAGATTTAAGGTTAAAAGCACTTGAACTTTCGTTTCAGTACAATCAAGTATACTTTAGCGTTTCGTGATCTCAATCGACAAAAAAACTCGGAATGGGCTTGGATAAGAAGCCCTGCGTTTCTAAAAGGTTTATTGTAATGGGCTGGGACTCCTAGCAGTCTTGACGTTAAAGGTGAAAGTATTATACAGGTCCTTGTACTTTGAATGGATTGCACTTAGGTGTCTGAACTTTTAAAGAGTAAAAGATTCATTCATGTAAGGATGGAGTTAGGATCAAATATTATGAAGGGTAAATCATATAATATCAAAATAATAGGGATCCATTAAGAATTTAATATCAAAACATTAATAAAGACGACATTTGACTCGAACCTTATGAGTTTTGACCCAATTTAACTTTATAGGCTCAAGCCTTTAAAAAAATCAAGGTCAAGTCGAGTTTTTTTAAGGATAAGGTCGTCTTGAATTTTTTAACGCGATCTGAAACCTTCACATCTGCTACACATTCTCATGTATTTCACTAAAAGAATCATGAATGATTTTTTCAAATTGAATCAAGGAAAGAGCTACGTTGGGGTCCAAAGAGGCCTCGGTCCCTGTAAAATTTTTATATATTTGATAGATTTTGGCCTAATATTATTTTGGTTCATATAAAAGTAAGTATTCAAATTAAAAAAAAATACAATAATTTATTAAATATTTAATTATGTAGCAATCAAACTAAAGAATGATAGTTCAATGTTCTCAAGTCTTTTGGTCTAATAACAATTTAGGCCATTATAAGTTTAGATATTAGATAAATTAAGCATTTTCTTTTGAATTTTAGATTTAAATACCTAATAATCTATTGTATTTTTATAAAATCTAATATTTTAGCCTCTAAGATTTAGTTCTGTCTCCTTCCCTCAATCAAACCATATATAATTTTAGCCACAAAATCCAACGTAAGTATTTTATATCAGATGAGAAAAAACGTTATACGTTGAAATTAAATGAGAATTAAAGATATAACATGGGCTGGGTTTATTACTACTTTCTTTGATACCAAACATTAAAAGCTGCAAGAGGAAAGAAAATCGTTCAAGTCTTTCCTTAATTAATAGGCATCAATATCACCCTCGTACATTTACATGTTCATTGGATCCCACAGGGATGAACGCACGAGTTTATATTAGGAGACGAACTTGAACTTATAAAGTTCTAAAAGGTGAAAACAAATTTTCAATATAAAATACATAAAAAATCTAAAATTTATGACAATTTTAAACTTTTAGGGAACAACCGCCCTCACCGCCCCACCTAAGTCCATCCCTACCGGACCCATATCATTGCTCTTTGGGTGACTACCATTAAACAATGGTGGAAATTTACGAGCAACTCAAGATATCTAAACAAGATATCTATTTTTATATCTTATTTCATTTATAAATGAAATTTATTTGTATTAAATGCTTATTCAAATTTTACTAATAGTTGTTTATTCCCCTTACATAAAATCTTGCATCCATCCCTAGGCAGATGTATGTGTGTGTCTTTCAAGGTAGCACATGCCCACTTTGAAATTTGAGTTTTTTTATAATAGTTGTTTATTTTATTAATGGTGGTTACCTTAAAATTTTATTTGTGCACGCACTATATAAAATATTTATGTTATTAATATATATGTGCTCATTCTGAGAAATATTTTTGGATTTATCATTAAAATTACGAGACAATCATTTTTGAAATATTTAATCAACTTGTAATCTTCATAACGTTTTGAAAGATCAATTTTATAGAGATGTTACTTTAGCATATATACCAAAATTTGGGATAAATGAAATATTCATATAGGTGTACTCTTTGTAATTTGTAGGTTTGTTATATATTATTATTCATTTTAATTTCGTAGAAAAATATAATATTACATCACATTAAATATTATTCCTTCTTTTTTTATACTAATCTCGCATATTTATTTTCGCTTAAAAAATTTCTAACAATCCGAATGAAGAAATTACGTAATATTCACGTATGAAATTAGAAGTGAGAACCATCAAAATCCTCGAAACCTCGATGAAATTATCGCTTAAATACAATGTCACCGTCCAGCTTAGTTATTAGGGTTTGATTGTTTTTTTTTTCAAAGTTAGATTCTAAAATCTTCAACTAACCAGCTGCATGCATTTATGATTCATATCGAGTTTAGAGTGTGTGTGTGTGTGTGTGTATACGAGGTTGTTCGCTATGTATATCCATGCTCAACGTTGATAGAAATGAAGAGTTGAGAGTGTTTACATTTAAGGAAAACGGGCAGGAAAGGGAGAGTGATTTCCAAAAGATTTGGAGCGTTTGCATTGATGTTTGTGTTTGCCGTAGGGATAGCTCAGTGCAGGAGGTTTGAGAAGGATAATTTCGGTGGTGGTTTGACTGGTGGTGCCGGACGAGGGCTCGGTGTTCCTCGTGGTGGTTGTTTTGGTCATGGAGGATTTCCTTTTTTTGGTGGTGGTGGATTTTTGTGTGGTGAACCCGGTGGTGGCGCTGGAAGAGGTCTTGGTGGCGGTTTTGGAGTAAGTTTCGGTGGCGCCCATGGCGATAATTTGGGAGGCGAAGCAGTTGTTGGTGGAGGAATTGGGGGAGGATTCTAATTCCAGAACGAGCATGGTATGGTTGAAAAACCATGCAAATTCCTCTTGAGGTGGTGCAACTCTAAGCATGCAAATGCATTTTTATAGTATGATCAGTAATTATCAAGCAAAATAATAATGAAAAACGAAGCTGCAAAATGCTTCTGAGGCTTATCTGCCAAATTTCTATGCAAAATACGTATTTTTCTCTCTTTATTATTAGAATTTATTCACCATCTGTTGCACCAAGATGATAAGTGCATGCATCTTACGGTATTATTAGAGTGTAATTGTTAAATCATTAATCTAAAATTAAAAATAAAGAAATTATTATCTAATTTGTTTAAAATTAAAATGAAAAGCATCTTAAAGGATTTAAATTGAAATAATGGTAAGTTAAGACTTAACTGGTTCACTTTTAAAATTAAGAACGACCTAAAAATAATTGTGTCAAGAGGGATAAGGATCTACTTCACCTAGTTTAAAATTAAGAGGACCTACAAAATAACTAAATCTGAAAAATCAAAAAATTATGACTTAATCTGTTTAATTTCAAAATTAAAAGAGACCTAAAAATAATTTTATCCAAAATTTGAGAGGGATTATAACTCCTCCCATTTTTCAAATAGTTTTATCCCCAACTACAATTAATCATAATAAATATTCAATCTGTAACCTTATGTTAAATCTAATGTGATTTTTAGAAATTTGAAAACAATATAATTTTTGTTCATGTCCTACACTAAATTAAGAAATTTGTTTTTCATACATTAATTTATTATAATTTTCACCTTATTATTACTAATGTTATGTCTTGGTTCAAACTAGAAATGAGAACATAAGTTGAACCGAATCAGACTTTTAATCGATTCAGATTTGATCCGATATATATATATATATATACATAATTTTTATTTGTATCGGGTAAACTAAAAAATCTAATCGAAAAAAATAAATAATTATTGTTCCAGATATTTTTAAATACAATGGATAAATATATTATTATAACAAGTCAAGTCAGGTCAGGTCAAAGATTATTCACTTAGGTGATGTTTGTTTTTATTGTATAAGGTCTGCAAAGCTCTTATGTCTGCGTCGCGCAGACTACGTGCAGACATTGAGCTTCGCAGGCCGTTTGTTTTTTAGAAGACATAAGCTCTTCTAACGTCTGCGCGAGGTCTTCTTGATGCAGACATGGTTTTATGTCTTCAAACGTCTTCAAAGAAATTAAAATTATTTAAATATATTTTAAAATTTTATTTTTAAAATATGAATTGATTTATTTTAAAATATGGATTGATTTATTTTAAAATATGAATTGATTTATTTTAAAATATGGAAAATTTATTTTAAAAAATGGATTGATTTATTTTAAAATATGAGTTGATTTATTTTAAAATATGGATTGATTTATTTTAAAATATGGAAAAATTTATTTTAAAATATGGATTGATTTATTTTAAAATATGGATAGATTTATTTTAAAATATGGATTGATTTATTTTAAAAAATTTATTATTGTAGTTGTATGGATTATTTAAATTTCAGTATTATAAAACTAAAATTATTTAAATTTCAGTATTGCAAAACTCTTTTAAGTTTAAAAAAATCAGTTTATTTATATTTCAGTTTATTTTAGCAGTCTACATACGTTAAAAAACAAACAGTCTTCTTCTAGCAGACTGCAGACTTTTGGTCAATCTCTTCTGCTGCAGATGCCTGCAGATGTGGTCCGCAGACGGCAGACCTTTTACCTCTGCAAAAACAAACACCATCTTAAAATCTAACTTGACCTTATCTTTTAAAATTTAGACACAATCTGAATACGTTTAAAAAAACCCTTGTAAATAATATAACAGATTAAAATTGATAGAATTCGAATTATATGTCTATCCTTCCGTAGTCCAAACCACTAACACTGTTTGTTATTTTTAAATGAGTTAAATACTCCATTCATACTTAAATTATATCAAATTCTAAGTTTCATACATATTGTTTAAAAATTGTCGATTTTATACATGGTGTTTTCTACCGTTAACGGATTCACTCACTTTCGTCATGAAAAGTAACGCGGAACCCTATGACCACTATTAAAAAGACACATTACACTTAAAAAAACATGTTTTCTTAGGTAAATTACACCATTAATCACTCAACTATCTTCTCACTCTTATTTTAAACACAAAAATTTAAAAACAAATACTTGGTTTTCTCTTCAACTGTTGCCCCACCCCTCGTCGTCGCTCGTCCTTCTTCTGGCCGATCGTGGCGTTCACCACCACCCTGGGAGCTTTGCCATCGTCCCACGACCTTTACCCGACCATCAGTTACCCCCATTCGATCGTCGTTCATCTGGAAATTGTGAAGAATCGTACGAGTCTCACCATCGTCGATCTTGGCCACCGTTGAATGGTAAACGTCATCGCCCTCACTCGTGGAAGCGCCTCCCTCGTCCTATCATAACCCGTCGACCCACTCGCTGAGCCTCGCCGTCGTTTGTCGTAGAGAATGATTAGAAGGTTCGTCGTCGGAAAACTTATCTCCGTCACTATTTTTCAGACGACCAATCTTCTAATCCTTCTCTACGGTAAACGACGGTGAGGCTCGGCGAGTGGGTCGATGGGTTATGACCGGACGAGGGAGGCGCTTCCACAGGTGAGGGTGGTGAAGTTCACCGTTTAACGGTGGCCGAGATCGACAATGGTGAGACCTGTTATGACCAAGCAGCTATGCCAACTCATCAAACCTATCAATTATTGACAAGTCAACATTCCAAGGCTTTGTTGGTTACGGTAACTAGCTATAAAATGTAGTGGAGTCAATGAAGGAAGGGCATGAAATATTGTTATAATCTGTTACTCTCTCCCTTTCTAGTTTTCTCTCTATTCTTCCCTCCTATTTCTCATTCTATCTTCTCTATTAGCTGTAATTTCTTGTTCTTCAATGGAATACAACTTAATTACTTGAGTTCATATCATTAAGAAACTGAGTTCATAACATTTGGTGTTTTCATTGAGAGGTTGAACTATGGTGAAGGAAACAAAGGCCATTAAAACTCTGCAAAAGACTGTCGCTCGTCACGAACAACTATTGGGATATCTTCAAGCTCATGTTGAGCAGCAGAAACAGGTGAACGATGATATCCAACAAACACTTGAATATGTGGAACATCAATTGGAAGTCATATCATTGCATTTGGGACTGTCGGGTAAACTTGTTACTAAGCAAGACAGTTCAAGCACAAAGATCCCCCACGTGTTCGACGATTATTCAACACCAAAGGAAAATGATGTTGAAGACCAAACAAATCAAAGCAGCGATGGACTTAATTTTTCAAGTGATATCAGGAGAATCATAGGTTCATCTAAACCCGTCGAGACAACAGAAAATGATGTTCAAAATCAGAATATTAAAATTCAAAGAGCAACAACCATCGAAGAAAATTGGGAATCTGCATGTAATTGGCATTCTGAATCCTGTCAATGGCAGTAAGTGCGAAAACCTTTGCTTTGAATTCAATTTCCATACTGCCAAATATATGGGATTATACTCTTTGATGTTGTGTACACCGCACGTTGCTGATTTCGGGGATAAATTGCAGCTTTTAGGTGTTACATATAAGGGGTTACTTGTTAGGAATTTGATATTTCTAACTATTCATGCTTGGAAAAAGCTTAAAAGGAATAATTTATTGTTGCTTACTCATGTGAAAGTGTGTTGATAAAGATTGATGATCCTTCTAAGTTTAAGCTTTTGTTAATGACAAAAAATATGAGTATCTAATAATGAGAATTTTAAATAACAATCATTGTATGAAAAGGATTTATTTAGACAAATAATTTTGTAAATACCAAAATTAAATGATTTTAAATTGAGAGAAATAAAGGAATAAATAAACATTTTTTTGAAAAAAATTAAACACTAAAATATCATTAAACTTATTGAAAACTGAGATTTACTAATTAGAGCTAAAGATGCCAATGGGTCAGGTTAAGGTAGGATTTTTGGTTAATCGATCTGACCTGAAATTATGCACTATCTACTCAAATTAGACATGATTCGAAAATTTTATATCCTTCATTTAATCTGATTCGATTTAAAAATATATATATTCTATTCGATTTTGACTCGATTTGAATTTTTAGAATATAAATTTGATCAGACTCTGATATAAAATAAGAGTTTAATTAAAAAATTAAAAAAATAAAACAATTATATTATTATCCTTTATGTTGAAATTTTTTCATCCACCACCCAACCCCTTAAAAAGTCAACCTGACACGTCTGAACCTGATATTTTTTATTAAAAAATCCGAATGTATCAAATCGGGTCGAGCCAAAACCAGTTGGATTCGGATTAAATTGCATCTTTAATTGGAGCACAGGCATTGTTAAAATTATGAGCTCAAAGTGAAAGCTTTATCAGTAAAAGAAAGTTTTGAACTTAATTGTCGACCTTTGATTGTTTGTTTTTTTTCTTCATAACACAAGTCCAAGATCCAAAAATTTCACTTATAATCTTTAATTACTAATTAATCAAAGACCAGATTAAAGCTGAAATCATTTGATTATATAAAAACATAGAAATGGGATTACTTTAAGAACTCGCCATGGCAGAAATGTTGGGTTCTTTTAAAGAAGAAACAGAGATAACGAAAGCTTGAAAAAGATAACACCCCATATCTTCAAAGAGGAATAAAAAACCACCCAAGTCCACCGACACCTCAGCCGTCAAACACCCACCACCACCACCTTTCACCTTCTTGTAACTTACGAGATCTTTGGGTTTCTTTCCCCTTCTTTTACACATTTTTTTAAAATTTTATTCAGAATCAATCATCATACCATTCTTTGATTCATCGGTTTTGGGGACTTGGGAATTTTGGATTTGTTTTTTTTAAGCTCAGATCAAAATTATACTGTGAAAAAAATGGGGAATATACGGTGGATGTAGGATTTTAGGGGGGGGTTTGGTTTTTGTTTTTGATGAGCGATGTCTGATGCTCCGGGGATTAATGAATCTGTTCTCGGTTTGCTGGAGCCCGTTTGGGAATGAAGTAGAAAACCACGAAACAAACGGCGTTCTCGGCGGCGGTGGCGGAAGTAGCGGTGGCTCAAGGGAAGGTAAAGACGGGTTTCTTTGGTTTCGTGATATAGGGAAATATGGGTCCGGGGAATTTTCCATGGCCGTGATCCAAGCGAACCAGGTGCTTGAGGACCAGAGCCAGATCGAGTCGGGCCAATTCGGCACCTTCGTCGGAATCTATGACGGACACGGAGGACCCGAGGCGGCACGTTACGTTTACGAGCACTTGTTCAAAAATTTTCGAGGTTCGTCACTTAAACAATAGATCTAAAGCTTTGCCCCCAACTCCATTGACAGAAACAGTGTTCAAATTTCGATTTGTTAATTTCAGGGTTTGTGCTTTTCAAACGTGTTGATACTTAGATTTAGTAAATTTGAACTGTATAATACTTTCTCGAGTACGATTATTTTATACGGGTATGTATCCAAGCTTTTGTTTAATTTTCGAAGTTTTTCATTGTATTCCAAGGGTCTTCGGATGCTTTTAGATCCAAGTATGAATGATATGTATATATGTGTGTGTGTGACCTTGAAGATAACTAGCTACCCGTTGAGCATCCTAGGTTCGAGTTTTCGAGATAGATGGATTTTAGTGTGGCATTGTGTCGCTGTCCACTGCAAGTTGCCTTATATTCTAAGGGTTTTTGGATGCTTTTAGAGCCAAGTATGAATGATGTTGAAAACAACTAGCTATCGGTTTAGTGTCGTGGTTTCGAGTTTCCGAGATAGATGGATTTTAGAGCGGCATTGTGTTGTTGTCCACTGCAAGTTGCCTGAAATGCCAAACATGATCCCTTTGTTATCTGTTTCTTCGTCGGGTTTTCTGTTTGGTGTTTCTTCTTTTCATATCTTTGAGTTATTCTTAAGCTTTGTGTTTATGCAGCAATAGCGGCTGAATCGGGGGGAGTTGTGACTGCTGAGACTATTCAACGAGCTTTTCAACAAACGGAAGAAGGGTTTACGGCCCTGGTGTCGGAGCTATGGAGTACTCGACCAAATATGGCAACAGTTGGGACATGCTCTCTGGTAGGAGTAATCTATCAGCGAACACTTTTTATTGCGAATCTGGGTGATTCTCGTGTTGTGTTGGGCAAGAAAGTTGGCAACACCGGAGAAATTGCTGCTATACAATTGTCAACAGAACACAATGCAAATATCGAGGCTATTAGACATGAACTTAAGGATTTACACCCGAATGATCCGCAAATCGTTGTTCTCAAGCACGGAGTTTGGAGAGTGAAGGGCATTATTCAGGTTTAGGCATGCTCGGACTGTCAACTGTCGTGGTTTATTATAATTTAAGTCCAGTGTTCGTTAATCATTGGACTTGCCTTCAATTTTGTGAATGTATGCGATGCAGGTTTCTAGATCGATAGGCGATGTTTATATGAAACATGCGCGGTATAACAGGGAACCAATTAATGCAAAATTCAGACTTCCTGAACCAATGAACATGCCGATATTAAGTGCCACTCCAACTATTGCTTCCTACGATATCCACCCGAATGATTCATTCCTTATATTTGCATCCGATGGTCTATGGGAACACTTGAGCAATGAAAAAGCTGTGGCCATCGTCCATGGTCATCCACGCGTAAGATTGGCATAAAAGCATTGTGTTCTCTTTCTGTTTGCTATTAGGCACTTGAGCACCATGGTTGGTGCCGATATAGAACGTCGGCTTTCTGATCATTCTTTAACCAATCCGCTTTTCCGAGTCTTTTCTTTTTAATACTAAACTGCATTCTCTTGATCTTTGGTGCACAACCTGTTAGCTCCTCTTCATTTACGATTTCGTCTTTTTTTCAAAATCCATGCTTTTATCGAGTCGGTTGAACTACGCACCACAACTGTTCATAATACCTTGCTCATGTACCTTTACAAAATGCAGGGGAGTGCTAAAAGGCTGATCAAGGCTGCCCTACGAGAAGCAGCGAGAAAACGAGAAATGAGATATTCAGATCTTTGGAAGATTGACAAGAAGGTCCGACGCCATTTCCACGATGATATAACTGTTATTGTGTTATTCTTTAATCATGATCTTTTATCCAGAGGTGCTGTCCAAGACCCTCCGGTATCGATTCGAAGTGCACTAGAACACAGATAAGTTCATATGGCCAAATAGATAACTGCTTCGTCCGGTTCTTGCAATTCAAACAAATGAAACTCCGCTACCAATGGATGACGTTTCCAGGTACACCGAGATATTGGATGCACCGGTCCTATTCCGGTATAGGGAGGAGATTCTAATCTGTAAAATGTTAAAGAGTTGGACCAACATTTACAGCAAATACTTTGTAACTCGGTGTATAATCTAATCGAATGCTTGTAGTTGCTTCCTTTGATCGCATTCTCTTGTACTAATATTGATGTTAGCATGGTGTGATAACTTTCCAGTACCATGGAATCCGGTATCAAGGATCACCAGTGTCAGAATTCGAATCGAGATTTTCCGGCTGCCGGATCTTCTTTTTAAGACTGGTTACATTCATTAATCATGCTAAGCCTTTGGTTTGATTACTCTGTTGCAGAGCACATTGGAATTAAATTCAAGTTTAAAAGCCGTTCGATTGTTTGAAGATTGATTCGAAGGTTCAAACTCGTTTTAAGGATTGTCGAGATTTGATCTTAAAAATAATTATCAAAACGCAAGTATTGTAAAAAAAGGGTAAATTACACCATTACTCATTAAATTGTATTCTCTCTCCTCTTTTGTTCATCGTACTTTTAATTTTTCTAATCTACTTGTTCTTGTTTTGATCATTTTGAATTATTTTATTATTATTTTGATATGACATGGCATTTTTTTATTATTATTTAATATAAAATAAAAATAGATGGTAGGATGCCACCGTCGACCGTCGTAGATGGTGGTCGTTCGGTCCTAGATTTTATGGCTCGGTTTGTCTTGACCCCCATAGTATGAATCTGGTAGTTGTTTCATCGAAAACTGTTTCAAAACCTATGAATCTCGACTGAAATTTTTCGAATTCTACACTGTTAATCTCTAAGTCATGGACTTTAAAGCAAGTTTTGACAAAATGGAGGTCAGATTCGGCCTCATTGTGCCGAGGCGAAGCGAGCCATGAAATTTGGGATCTAATGATCACCATCTACAGCAGTCAACGGCGGCCAGCAGTAGTGTCCGGTCACCTTCTGTTTTATTTTATATTTTAAATTATTTTATATTAGATAATAATAAAAAATTTACGTTATACAAAAATAATAATAAAATAATTTGGAATGATGAAAATATGAGCAATTCGAAAGTTTAGTGAGTAAATTAGAAAAATTGAAAGTACAATGAGCAAAATAGGAGAGAAGTATAGTTCAATGAGGAATAGTATAATTTACCCTATAAAAAATTAGATAAACTACGTATTTAATACATAAACTATCCGTTTTGATTCGTTTTAGCACCTAAACTTTTTTTAAAAAAAATTCAAAATCATATTTCATTTTAGTACTTAAACTTTCATTTTTTTTAAAAACTTAACGTTAAATTTTGAACGGGGTACTAAAATGAAACAAAAACTAAAATTTTTACGGGGTGCTAAAATAAAAATATTAAACTTTAGGTATGTTTTTTTTCAAAATTGAAAGTTTAGATACTAAAATGTATCAAATTTGATAGTTTAGGCACTAAATGCGTAATTTAGTCTAAAAATTATGAAACATAATTCTTTTTTGATAGATGTAGAAAACATAATTATTGTATACAAATATATAAATATGTACCAATAAATTAGGAATCATATAGTCGGTCAAAGTCATTTTCAGTAGGGAATTGCAGCAAATTTGATGACTTGGCTACCAAGTAATCCTTGTTTGACCGACTATAATAAAAGGAAAGTCACAATAATCCCCACGTGAGCTATAACTACAAGTCTACATACAACCTACCATTCAAACTACGTAAACAAAGATCATTTAACACCTTAAAAAAAATACAAGGGTTAATTGCATTAAACGTCCTCGAAATTTGGGTCACATTTTAAATTAACCTTAAATTTTAAAACATTTTAATCAAGTCCTTAGAATGTCGAGACCATTCTAGCCTTCTAGCCTATCCATCAACTTGCATGTTAAAAGGCTAACATGAATATTGCATGAAACATATATAATGGATACAATATATAAAAAATAAAATAAAATATTCAAATTTTAAGTACATATTACACAAAAAATTAAGATACGATCTATTAAAAAATGAAATAACTCTCCCAATTTTTAATGGAAAATATCTTTTTTAAATCTGTTAATCTAAATTATCCATGAATAGATACACGTGTTTAGAAGTAAATCCATGTGTTTTAAATATACTTAATGTTGGATCCGACCTAACATTCAAGGCTCAACTTTAAGGAATGACCTAATTGGCTTGGTATCGACGTAGTGGTGACTCAAATAAAACATTTTAAAATTTAAGGATCAATCTAGAAGCTAAACCATTTAATTTGAGTATACAATAACCTTCTCTAGTCTTAATATATTTCAAAACTACTGTTAAGCATAAAAAAGTACTAAATTGTCTACCTTTTACCCATAATTATTGTTAGATTCAAGTTCGGTCTAGTTGCATTATTAGTTATTCATGCATGATTTCATAGTTTCCTTCACAGTTAAGTTTGATATTGCATTATTAGATACTGTTGGTACGTGTTAATTTGTACATATTAGGAATTTCCCTAGGAATCAGAAAATTATGTGGCATTTGAAGATAAAGATAAGAGATTTAATTCCTCTTTTATTAAAGGAGATTATTTCCTATTTTATTAGAAGATATTTATTAGCTCTTTTAGTCCAATTAAAACTCTTATTCAACAAGAATAAAAGAAACCTAATCCTCTCCTATAAAAGAAGACCAAGACGCAACAAAAGAGGAGGAGGCGCACAAGACAGAGAAAGAAACTAATGCATATCATCTTATTCTTTTCTTCTTTATTTTTCTTTTCATGTTGTTGGGAAATCTTTATCTTGTAATCTTTTCGCACCCAGCCATGAACTAATTTTAATTAGCTTCAGTTATTGGGTCCTTTTGTGGTTGTGAAAACTCTTAGATTTGTTTAAGTTCTTGATTACGGTTTGAATTCAAAGTTTGTTCATTCTTTGTTCTTTAATTGATTTCGAGTGAATTGGGAGAGGATCTCGAGAATTATCCATTTATCTAATATCGGGAGAGTTAGATTCAAGAAACGAATGAGCATGATCTTCATTTGAATGAATGTTGGTGAAAGTTAATCCATCTTAGGGATAAGATTCGGATTTCAATGGGTAAAAGGAGAGTAAGATCGGTTGTTGTTGACCCATGGTTAACGTAGGGATGTATCACCACGACATGCACAATTGACCAATACTTCGGGTTAAGAATAACAAGAAGGCATTGAAGAATGCTTTGCCGAGCTTTAAAGGAGGAAACCCAGTTGCTATGGAAATTGAATAATTTTTAGTTGTCAAGGAAATCGAGTTGCCTCGGCAATAAATTACCCAGACTATCCAAACAGTTGTTATACTGCACTTACCGATAACCCGACCTGCTCTCTCACTTGATATCACTTTACTTTTATTGACTTGCTCATTTATTTTATTTGTTTATTCACAGACCTACTATTACTAATTTATTTCTTTTTACAGTGCAAGAAGTTAGAATACAGAGTTTTAACAATTCCTGTGGAGACAATATATTTTCTATACTATAACTTGCGACGTGTACACTTGCACCAATTGCAAAGCACTTAAATCACGCCACAACTATGTTATATTTATTTTTATTCTTTACTATTTTTGTGTTTAGTATAAGATTTTGAACCTACAATTTCCACATTTTTATAATGTGGTACACTTATTTTTTAATTCAATATGGTACTTGAACTTTTCATTTTTATCTGATTCGATACATAGATTCATCATTTCTAATGTGGGGTAATTATATGACATCTCAGCTAGCAATGATATTGTGACATGTGACAAAAATTTCATGTAGATACTTGTTAAAATTGTCAAAGTCGGGTACCAAATTAGATTTAAAAAAAACAAGTGCCGTATTGGATAAAAGTGACAACTTTGAGTACCAAATATTATATTAAGCCTTTTTTATTCAAATGACTTCATTATTTAACCAGAAAACGGCATAACGTCACTCCATACGTAATGACCGAAAAGAAATTCCAACGTGGCACTAACGAATCTTTAGTGGGTCCCACTCTCGTCTCCCTCTATAAATAGGTATTCAGAGGAGCCAAAACTGTTTAGCACAAATTGAATTCCCCCCCCTCCCCCAACCCCCACACCCATCCCAGAGGAAAACAAAAATTACCAAAACAGAATGTGCCCGTCGGAGAGAAACTGGAATCGGCCGGAAAATGGAGTTCCAGCGACGGATTTCAGATCGGCATTCGAGATCCTCGACGCCGACCGCGATGGCAAGATCAGCAGGGAAGATTTGAAGAGATTTTCCGCCGGATTCTCCAACGGTTTCAACGACGACGACGAGATGATCGGGGCGATGATTTCGTTGGCGGATTTGAACAAGGACGGTTTCGTAGAGTACGAGGAATTCGAGCGCGTTTTGGGAGGGCACAAGAAGAAGGTTTCGTCGGGTTATGGCGTGATGGAGGATGTTTTTAAAGTGATGGATAAAGACGGAGATGGGAGATTGAGCCACGAGGATTTGAAGAGCTACATGGATTGGGCTGGTTTTCCGGCTTCCGATGAAGATATCACAGGGATGATTAAATTGGCCGGCGGCGGGGACAGCGGCGAAGGTGAGAATGGTGTTACTTTTGATGGTTTGCTGAAGATTTTGGCCGTTGATTTTTCTGGGTAATTTTGTTTTCTTTTCTTTGTTCTGGTTATCGAAATTATTGATTGAATCACTCATTGTTGAAAATGAAATGAAATAAAAAAAAATCTATGAATTCATTGTTTTTCTTCTGCAAGCAAAGAATGCAGCGTAAAAGCAAAACGACGTCGTTTGTTTATGTGTTTTCCTGGGTCTAATTATGCCTTTAGTCCATCAACTTGCAATTCCTAAACTAAAAATGGATTTCAATTAAAAATAGTATTAATTGACAATTTAAATGTAGGGTCACCGTTTCTCAATAAATTTTACTTTTTCTCTTATTTTACTAACCTAACTATAAAATAAAAACATAAGGTGACCGGATGTCACCACCGGCTGTTGTCGTGCATCAAATTTAAATAGACAATAAATATAATATTATAGTCCAAATATAATATAAAAATAGTCAATAAATATAAATTTATTATATATAATCAAAATACATCAATCTTAAATAAATACAAATATATAATTAAAATATATATATCGGGGAAAAAACGTGCATCTATCAACTATAGAAGTTTTTGGAATTTGGAATTAGGGGTTTAGAATGAAATTGAGGATTGTGTTGCAAGTTTTAAAAGTTGGAGGACTTAAATGCAAGCGCCTGAAAAGTTCAGTGACCATATTGCAAACAGACTAAATATTGGAGGACTGCCACATCATCATCTTCTAACGGCAGTGTAACGGCGTCAAACGGCCGATTACGCCGACGCCGGGGATCATATTGCAAACGAACTAAATGTTGGAGGATTGTATTGTAAGTTTTAAAAATTTGGAGACCTAAATGCAAACGTCGAAAAAGTTCGGTGACCATTACTAACTTTATCCTAAAAATTTTTACCAAATCTAACCATAAACACCTCTAAGAATTATCTTGTGGCCAATTCTTTTAATAGTGCATGGCATTCCAGCAATTTCTCTAAGGTATAACTAAATTAAGATTTTCAGTTCTAAATTTGGGCATCATACAGTCTTTATAAACAAATGTGAATTCCAATATCTCTATTATGCCAAGTTCAATCATGGGGTTGCCCAACACGAAGACATGGTTGATTTGCCTGGCCCTAATCAGCACGGTGGTGATCGGAGGCGATGCGGATGCACCCAACGGTGGTAGGTTCATCGACCAGGCAGTCCTTGATCGTTGTAAGTGGCCCGGCGGTCCGCACCCGGGATGTCATCCAAACCCAAATGCTCCTCCCCGACAAGCGAATCCCTACAACCGGGGATGCTCGAGACACAACAGATGCCGCCACTGAATGACAAGAAGAATAATGGGAAAATTACTATTGAAAGCTTCCTTTCATAAAAGCTTGTATTGGTGTATTGTTAAATAATTTATGTATTGATTAAATAATTAAAACGAATATTTTAAGATATATCTTCCCATACTGGATATTTATATATATGTGCTCTCATGAATGAAAGTTATTTTTCATTTTTTATAAAGTAGTATATGTTCATAATCTTTTTTAATCATTGACAATGTACATACATCCTGCAGACGCAGTTTTTTGAACCTAATTAGAGTTTCTCCCTTTTATTTCATTTAATTATGACATAAAACCAAACGACATTAATCAAAATCATTAAAAAAAACATAAAGAAAAAGGTCAACAAAATGACAGAATCATGGTGCTCAATCCACGCCCTCGCGAGTGGCGGAGCAGACAAAAAAACCCCACGGCTGGGGAAGCTGTAAATATAAAAATGAAACTAGAGTTCCAATATTAATCTTTATATTATACATCAATTATAATTTTAATCTATGTACTTTAATTTTACTCGTATTACTTTTCAATTTTTAAAATTATAGTTTTTTTTAATTGTAGAAATACGATATTTTATATTATGAAGGTAAATTTTTAAAATTTTAAAAAGAAAAAATTTATAAAATTTTAGGAAGCGAAAAATAAAATTTTAATAGAAAATACATAAAAAAAATTAAATTATATGTTCATTTGAAATTTTTAGGGGGTGACTGCTTCTATCCATCTCCTCTTAATTTTGTTAGAAGTATAACAATTCGAGACAATAAAAATATTTATTAAATAATCGAAAAAATAATATAGAAATAAATACACAATTTTTATGAAAGAATCGATTGGAAACGGGTTGAGGCCTCCAACTAAGCAATTTCATTATGATAGATTTTCGGCCACTCCTTGGTGTTCGAGATCTTTGATTGTCTGTCTCTCAAGATACAACAACGAAATGATCAGTGTACAGTAGCACAATTGTCGAGACCACTTGCCTTCGTCTATCACCAAAAAAATAGATGAGAGAAAAACTTTTTGAATAGTTTTTGAGTTGTTTGAATTGTGTTTAACCTAGTAGGTTTACACAAAATTTATAGGGATTTCACATGGTGAAAAATTGAAATTTTTTTTATCTAATGAAGCATTAATGAGAATCAAGCAATCAAGTAATTTCCAAAAGTATTGTTTTGATTAAAGCAATATTTTAATATTTATCCTTTTAATTCCAAAACAAATTTTGAAAAGATATGTTATATTTGAGGAAAAAATATCTCACCCTTAGGTTAAAATATCCACAAGCCCACAAAGAGTCTGACCAGTTCGGACATTCACATCACCCACGTTGGGCACATCCGAACATGTACGAACCAACAATTGGTTTCACATTTTTCTCAATAACATTTGGATCAATTTCTTATTCAAAGCTCCAAAATTATCAAGTTTTTCCAACAGATTCATCTCTGATTGTAAGGAGACCTAGAACATGAAACTAATAAATAAAAGTTCTACTATAAGAAGGATAAAAAATTTATACTACTCGATCATGAATTGGCCTGCATCAATGTGTAAAGCATGGCTAAAAAACGTAGCTTCATCCATGGATCAAGCGAGTTTCATCAAGCTGCTGATCCTGACCTAGAACATCTGGAATAGGCGAAATAAATGTGTGCATGATAAGGAGTAGCAAAACGATAGGAAAGTAATCAACGATGCATTGGCTCTTGCATCAGATTTTGCCAAGGCGAACACGAGATTGATCAAAACTACCCGACACACCGCAATGGTCCACGTCCCTCGTGGCAATGTCCTATGACTGGGTGCATTAAGATAAATGTCGATGGAGCTTTTATCCAAAGTACAGGCGAGGCGACTATAGATGTGGTTACTGGAGATCATCATGGCATGATTTTACGAGCGGTTGGACATAAACTTGAGAACTCCCATACCCCCGAATCAACGGAAGCAATGGCGTTCGTTCATTGAATTAGAATGGCAATTAATTGAGAACGAGCGGAACAATGTTACCATCAAGGGAGATGCAATCTTTATTGTCAACCGACTTGCAAACCGTAAAGAAGACATCTCCATTATCGGATTGTTGCTCAACAAGGTTCACGATACTCTTTTGCACCACCAGAACTTCAAGGTCTTCTACATCAATCGAGATGTGAATAGGGTTGCTCACTCCTTAGCCCATTGGGACTTGCAAGAACTAATCCTTTTCAGTTTTATTATGATGAATTTGATTGTATCGATCATGTTATACTACTGGGTATTTAAATGAAAATCTTACCATTTTCAAAAAGAAATCTATTCCAAAGCGGCATGAAACATAATTATTAAAAATTGTTAAGAATGTGTCAATTTGATCATTACATGAGTTATTATATCGCCTTTATGATGAATCTATTATATTTTCATCATCTAACGTCTTTATCGTAGCATGAATACTATTTAAACTAGTGAAATTGAGGTATTGCTGGTCTTTGGATCTCCCAACAACTATACAACTTGGACATTATCGTAAAAGATTAGTCTTTACTCAAATAATACATTATCAATATGACTAAATTATAAGAATTGAAAATGATTAAATTTAAGAACATGGACAAAATCTATAATTTAATATAACACAATGACTAATGACAGAATTTGAATTAATATATTTAACGACTATAGTTTAAATTAAGATCAGAGTTTCAAAAAAAAAAAAAAAAACTAATGCACCAATTTCGTGACCTACACAGGACAATGACTAATATGAAACTTTATTTTTTTTTAAAACAAGGGGTAAAGTATGCATTTAGCACCTTAATTATCAATTTTTGTCCGTTTTAATACCTAAACTTTCAATTTTTTTTCCAAACTCAAACCTTACATTTAGTTTCTGTTTCATTTTAGTATTTGTCGTTAAAAACTTAATGCGTTTAATATATAAACTATCAGTTTTTGTCCATTTTAATACCTAAACTTTTAATTTTTTATGAAAACTTAATGTTAAATTTTGAACGGATGTACTAAAATGAAATAAAAATTAAACTTTAGGTATTATTTTGAAAAAATGAAATTTTTAGTACTAAAACAGACTAAAGCTTATACTTTAGGTACTAAATGCGTATTTTCCCCCAAATATAGGTTCCACAAGTTTGACCACGTGGCAATCATGTGGACCGTGATATTCATCCTGTGATATATTCTCCTTCCACTGATGCACTTACAAGAAGAAAGTTGGGGAACCGTGTTGTCGTCATTTGACTCGGCTGTAATCATGACTGCTGCCTCAAATATGCGCACGACTCAGTGAGTCACCCTACATCCGTACCGTTTATTTTTGTTTAATGCCTATTTCACTTATATTGTTTGTCCTTGTGGGCATCATGATCACAGCCGTTCAAATCTTAATTAGATAAAGGGCAGCGGAGGTGGGTCCCTTTTTGGTGTTTCTTAAAAGAAAATTGTTAAATTGCAAGATCTACCTCTACACCAGTTATAAGATTATAATGTATTTTAATATTTTTTATTTTATAATTTTTTAACAGGAGCTATGATCCAATTACATAATTTGAAATTAAAAAGTTTTACATCTTTTTAATATCGTTAGATGAAAAAAAAAAATATCAAAATTAACAGTAAAAAATAAAAAGATATTCATTAGAAAAAAAAATGTGAATCTAAATATTTAATTTTCCTTCACCACCACATATGTAAATTGTGTCACAGTTAAAATAGTAGGTCATTGTTATCGCGTACAGTTCACCACCACATATGTAAATTGTGTCACAGTGGCGTGACACAAGCACAAGCTTTTATTCTTTACAAAAGGTATATTTGTATCTTTTAATTTGATTCAAAGGTACGAAGATAATATGGTTAAAATATTTTAGTTAATCAAATTGAAGAATATATAATAAATCTACAACTTAATATATACAAGGATTACTAACAATATTTTGTTAAACAGATTTAATTTATTATTATTATTATTTAAGTCGGTATCAAAATTTTAAAAATAAAAATATAATAATTATAAATTAAAATATATAAAATAAACTCATAATTTGCGTATAGTAAATAGATTAGAATTTAGTAGAGGAATTAACCTAAATAATCTCCGATAGTAAAATGAAGAATTTTGAAGAATTTGGTTACGTACGGTTGGACCCACGCAAACAGATTCCACTTTGGTCGGCCAAGTTATTTTGTTATTCAGACAAGCCTGTGTTTCCGACAAGATAACGACAGACAGAACAAAAGGAGAATGAAATGAAGCAATATCTCATTGTATCCACCCAACTATGTATTTATTTTTAAAATCTTAATTTATAATTTTCACCGATAATATATTAAATAATATATTCTTTGAGGAAGTTACTCATCTGTTCACTTTTTCAAGTAGCAAAACAATATTATTTGAGGAAGTTACTCATCTATTCAAAAAAGAATTTATTTCTAACCATTCCGGTTCTAGAGTTTCGTTCTAATTAATATGAATCGATTCATGTCACACACACTTAGTACTAATAGATTTTTAGTTGATGGGAACTTTTTTACATATATAATATTGAGAAAAAATTGATTTAATTGATAGATTTAATATTTATATTAACTTTATATTCTTTTGACTATCACAAATGAAAAGATGATTTTAATTTGAATATTAGTAGGATAATTACTCTTTTGATATGTCAAATTAAAAAGTATTTATTATCTATTTAACTTTGAATATTAAAGGTAATTATATTATTTAAAAAAATTTAAAATTAAAATAATATCCATTTAAGTTTGAATAGTAAAATGTGTCTATCATCTTTTGAATATTTCAAATTAAAATATATTATTATCTATTTAAATTTGAAAAATAAAATAATATCGTCTTAGATTGTTATTTTCAGGAATAGACCCAGGATTAGATATTGGCAGTGACCGAAATATTAAATTTTTTTAGAAAAATATAAATGACTTATTATGTATTTAAACTAATTCAGAATACAATGTCTAATATTTAAACTTACAATGACCTAAATTGTTATTAGATAAAAAAGTAATAACATTAGATTATCATTCTTTAGTTCGACCCCTGTTTAATTAAATATTTAATAATTTATTGTATTTTTTAATCTGGATACAAATTTTTAAATAAATCAAAATATTATTAGATCAATATCTATCGAACATAATTAAATTTTTTATTATCATTTTTTGTTTTATATTATTCTTAGAATAACATGATTTTTCAAACACATAAAAATTCGAACTCAAAACTTACATAAATAATATTAAGAGTATTAAATAATTCATTTTAGACCGCCGTTTAATTAGTAATTTTTATTTTCGTTTCACAAGACATACGTAAAGTTATCCCGAAAAGAAACTCGCTGAATATTTAAATTATATAATCCTCGGAGAGGTCAGCTTCCAATTCCATTGATACATATAGATTCCGTTAAGACGACAAAATGATACCGTGTGGGCCATCACTAATTCATTCCGTTTTGCCCTTTTTTTTCCTCTCTTCACCCAAAGAAATGAAAATACAAGGAATCATCTCCTGAAAACCGATACTACACTACAACTCCACGAAAGCCGTTGATAACATACTTTCTCTAAACCCACTTAACATCAACGGTCAATATCGTTTTCCGTTATAATTTTTTTGAACTTCCCGGAAGATGCTATAAGTACACTTATTTGGCGGACTCTTATCTCTCCCATCTATTCGCTTTAGCTTCTTCTTTCACTGGATCAGTAGTACTATCAACTGTGAACCCTCTTCGGCTTGCGTTTCTCTCGTTTATTTATATTTTTTAGAAGTAATTTCGATTTTTTTAAATTTATGATCTATGGTGATTTTGATTTGCAAATCAAATCAGCATTGCTTTGATTGAGTTTCTGAATCTGGTTCCAGCCTGGAAATGGTATGATCCGAAATCGAATCCGTTTTGTTCTCTGTTTTCAGTTTTGAACTACAGGACACGAGTTGAGGTGAGCTGGATTCTGACTCAGTTTATAGTTCGCTCACATATATATATATATATATGTGTGTGTGTGTGTGTATTTGTAAATAGATTCTTCTTTCTCTCTGTGTCTATAATATATTTGAAGTGTCGAAGTTGAGCCGTTGAGGTGGCTCTGTTTGGCTAGAAAGAAAATGTGTAGGAAAGGGAAGGAAAGGAAAGAAAAAGGAAAGTAGATAACTTGAATTTTGAGTTTTAAAATATTTTGTTCTTTTTATTTTTCAAAAGTTTTACCTACTTTGAGTTTGAATTATTCTGCCTTTAAATAATTTATAGAATTTTTTTTGTTTGCTGATTTTCTTTTTTCTAAAATCAAATCAGCACTTCTTTGATTGAGTTTTCGAAACGGGCTCCAGTTGAGGATTTTACGATCCAAAACGAATCCGTTTTATTCTCGGTTTGTAGTTTTGAACTGTAGAAATCGAGTTGAGGTGAGTTGGACATTAACTCGGATTTACTTGCGGTGATGCATTATTATTCTTTTATAAACTATTTTTTCTCTGTTTCTATAATATTAGAAGTTTCCAAATTCAGCTGTCGAGGCTGCTGTGTTTGGCTTGCAAGAAAATATGTAGGAAGATAACTGGATTTGTGTTTTAAAATTTTCTTTCTACTTTCCAAAAGCTATACTTCGAGTACATTCCTTTCGAGTTAGAATTCTTCTTCCTTCTATTTATTTCCTTCCATTTTTGGATTTGGAATCTCATTTTCTGTCACTTTACTGAACTGATCTATCATTAATTAACTGATCGACCTCTCTTTCTTTTCCAACAGAATTTTAGCGGAGCTAGAAGCTGGAAGTGAATGAGATTGAGAGTTTTCAGATCCAAATATTTAATGAAAACTTGAATCATAAAACCAAGCTCTGATTTATAATACATATACACTTTAAAATAATTTAACTCCAGTTTGTTAACACAATGGCGATCGGGATATTGAATTCCCTTTTAGCAAACCCAGAGACGATTTTAAGCTCTGATCACAGCTCAGTTGTTTCAATGAACTTATTTGTGGCGCTTCTTTGCGGGTGTATCGTGGTGGGTCATTTGCTAGAGGAAAGCCGATGGATGAATGAATCCATTACCGCCCTTGCCATTGTAAGTTTATATATATATAGTTCATTTTTTTTTCAAAAAATAAAGTTGTCAAAGAGTTTTGTAATTTTGACATTTTTAATTATAGGGGCTATGCACAGGAGTTATTATTTTGCTTACAACAGGAGGAAAAAGCTCTCATCTTTTAGTTTTCAGTGAAGATTTGTTCTTTAATTATTTGCTTCCACCTATTATTTTCAATGCTGGGTTAGTTCTTGATCCTTGTATTTAAATCTTTACCATAAAACATGATTAAGTTTGGGTTGTTCTGACTTATATAATGCATTAAACGTTTCTTGAAGTTTTCATTTTAAGCGTAGGTTTTTAATGAAAGAAGATGCAATTAAAGAAATATTTTCCTGAAATCAGTAAAAATCATGTGTATTAAATACCAAAAACGAGCAACCCAGACGTTAACTATGTTTTCTTGGTTTCAGGTTCCAGGTGAAGAAGAAGCAATTTTTCCGCAACTTTATGACCATCATATTGTTTGGTGCAGTTGGCACTTTAATATCCTTCGCCATCATATCTGTAGGTATGTTTTAATGAGCCAGGTGATATAATCTACACGCATGTATTACTAACAATAAAAAATATATCCGTATGGGTGAGCAAAAAAAAATTTCGAACGAATAAAAAGAAATTTGGATTCCTTAGGTTCTATATGCTTCCGCCACTGACAATATTATAAAATTTTGCTATAGTTAAATAAAACTTGATGATTATTTTGAAACAATTCGATAAAACTTTACGATTATTCTGTAACATTTTGATAAATTTAGTGATCTCTTTGTAACTTTTGGAAGTTCATTGACCAAAATGATTACTTGAGTATAATCTAGTGACATCCAAAGCACTTTACCTTGTTTTGAAATGTGAGTTAGTATTTTATCCTTTCATTTCTTAACTTCTTTTTAATTTCCTTTACTTTTTTTCCATTAAAAATTATTTGTGCAAAGTGTAATGGTGAAATCTTTCATTAGTCATTGTACTATACATAAGTTGAAAATTAGTCCCTATAATCTAATATGGTCAATATTATTCCTTGTACTTCTTTTATTTTAAAATTATAGACTCGACTCAAATGATACATAAATAATATGACTAAATTAAGAATTAAATTAGAGAACATGAGTTAAATTTAACACTTAACCATAATACATAGAGTCATAGACTAATAGTTGGATTTGACTTAAAAAATTTAACAACTATTGTTTGAGCATAGTTAAAATTTAAAATATTTAAAGTGAAAAGAACAAAAATATAATAATCAAATTAAAGTAGATACACTATATTCATAACTTATGTGTAGTGCATAGACTAATGGAAGAATTTGAGATATATAGCTATTTGTATTTGTAACTCTCATTGCTGATTTTTTTTCTTGTTTATTGTCTTTGTTAACCCAGGTGCCATACATTTTTTCAAGAAAATGAATATCGGTCAACTGAAGATAGGGGATTATCTTGGTAAATTATCCATCCCACTACAATCTTTTCTCATTTAACATTAATTGTATTTTATATTTTAGTCCTTTATTGATTCTACTGGTTCTTCTTAACCATGCAGCCATTGGGGCAATATTTTCCGCTACAGATTCCGTCTGCACTTTGCAAGTATGCATGTTTGACAACTAAATTCTCTCTTCATGACAACCTTCAGAAGGTCACTTTAGCTTACCTCTTCATCTCTTCTCGTTGGCTCAGGTGCTTAATCAGGACGATACGCCTTTACTGTACAGCCTGGTTTTCGGGGAGGGAGTTGTCAACGATGCCACAGCAGTTGTTCTTTTCAAAGCAATTCAGGGCTTTGATCTTCCTAACGTCAACTCCACCATTGCTTTGCAGTTTGTTGGCAACTTTTTGTACTTGTTTATTTCGAGTACTTTGCTGGGAGTTTTGGTGAGGCTTTATTTCTCTCTTCTCGGTTTGAATTAATCCTTGATTGAATTGATTGTTGTTGTCTAGCTAATTCTGATCATTTTTGTTTATCTCCTGCAGGCTGGACTGTTAAGTGCTTACATTATCAAAAAGCTCTATTTTGGAAGGTTTGTATACTCTCCAATGTAGGTGTAATTGTTAATTAAGAAATTCGGTCCTTATACTTTATGAAAACTTAAGAGTTAGTTCGAATTGCTGATTTTTACTATTTTGTTGCTCATATATTGTTGCATTGTTGATATTTTAGGTAAGTGATTTAACAACAGGGGTTAGCAATATTGTCATTTTTTTAAATACTAGGACGGATTTCTAATTGATTAAAGTACAAGTACCACATTTTCAATTTTTATAAAGAAAGGGACTCATTGTATAATTAGGCCTCATAAAATGGTCTCGTTCTTATTACATCTTTGACTAATAAACTGTTATACAAGCTGAATTATTACACTATCGTAGTAGCTTTTCAATTTTCTTAAAGTAAATGGATGAAATCCATAATTAAACCCAAAAAAAATTGCCTCGTGATCTTCTTATATCTTTGCCTAGGAGCTTCTAATATTGTTTAGTTATTAAGTTAATGTCCTTATATATCTCCTCTTCTTACAAACAGGCACTCAACTGACCGTGAGGTTGCTCTTATGATACTCATGGCTTATCTCTCGTATATGCTGGCTGAAGTAAGGTTTTCTTTCCCCTTCTAATGTGTCTCATTGATGATTTTTTTCTCTTAACATTGCAAAAATGGTCTAATTGCAATATGGCCCCTACTGTCTTGCAGTTTTTCTATTTAAGCGCGATTCTCACGGTGTTCTTTTGTGGGATTGTTATGTCTCATTACACATGGCATAACGTTACCGAAAGCTCAAGAGTGACAACCAAGTACGTTGACTATCCGAAATCTCTATTATTTTTTTAATCATAAATAAAAACATCAAATTGGATTATAAGCATCGTTCTCGTAATAGACCTCTACAATATTTGATTTGGACCGAATACAATAAGTCGAACCGAGTATGTTAATTATTGCAGGCATGCTTTTGCAACATTGTCATTTGTTGCTGAGATCTTTATCTTCCTCTATGTTGGTATGGATGCCTTGGACATTGAGAAATGGAGAGTTGTTAGTGATAGGTGAGGTCATTTTAGACTACTTACCGATTAACTTGAAAGCCAATTTGGTGGAATTATGGGGTTAATTTTATCTTATTCATTTTTTCTCAGCCCCGGTATATCGGTAGGGGTGAGCGCAATCCTATTAGGCTTGATCCTTGTTGGGAGGGCAGCCTTTGTCTTCCCCTTATCCTCCATATCCAACTTGACTAAGAAGGCTCCACGTGACAAAATTGACTTCAAACAGCAGGTTTGAGCTTCACGTCCTTCTTGTTAAAGAACAAGATTTAATTCTATTTGAATCGAATCGAATAATTTAATTTTAAACTTTCTTTTATCTCTGATTCTATATTGGTCCTGATATGGATCAATGAGTGCTTACTTCTATTTGGACACTTACTTTGCAGGTTACCATTTGGTGGGCCGGTCTTATGCGTGGTGCGGTCTCAATGGCACTTGCGTATAATCAGGTATAAAAATTTAACTGGGTTTCTTCTTCCATAGACAATCACAATACAACATTATATGATTTTCGGATATGAATAGTACGATCCGATCCGAATTAGTCTACCAATCAAAAGGGGGGAAAAATGTAACAACAAGCGTCTTTGCAGTTTACCAGCTATGGCCATACTCAGTTGCGAGGGAATGCAATGATGATAACGAGCACAATCACAGTTGTACTCTTCAGCACGGTGGTAAAAGCTCGATCCATCCCTTTTTTTCCTTTTTTCTTTTTATCTCCGGAGTTATGATTCAACAATCGAAACTCAATTTAAACCGTGACACCATTTAATCACATAAAAAACATAGAAGAAATCCGAAATATAATTATAAGTTCATGATCTTCAATGTGACCATTCGATTCATATGCCAGGTTTTTGGATTGATGACTAAACCACTGATACGAATCTTATTTCCTTCACCGAAACATCTCAATCGAATGCTTTCAACCGAACCGTCTACACCAAAGTCATTGTCCGTGCCACTCCTAGGCAACGTCCATGACTTAGAGTCGTACGAAAGCGAGCGGAATCTAACCCGACCGACGAGTTTAAGGATGTTCTTGAGCACTCCTTCCCACACCGTGCACTACTACTGGAGAAAATTCGACAACGCATTCATGCGACCCATGTTCGGAGGAAGGGGTTTCGTACCCTTCGTACCGGGATCGCCCATCGAACAAAACGATCAACAATGGCATTGAAAATGAAGTGGCAGCAGTGAAGAACAGAAAGATCATACACATACCAGGTACTAATATTACCAGTCTAATTTCTATAAAATTTTAGGATAGTGCAATGGAAGCCGGCTTTCAGTGTGAAGTTTGCTAATACATATATTATTATTCATATTCGAGTGTGAGTGTTTGATGCTGCCATGCCGGTACGTATCTAACGCGAATATATTCAATTTTTTTCCTTCAGTTTCTCGATGTTTGGAAATACATCGAATAGGACTATTTTAAAAAGAATGAAAATTACAGAACAAAATAACATGATTGAGAGTTTTTGCAGGATGATTTGATTATAACATCAATTTCTTTTTCCAGCATTAGATGCTTGGAATTTGATTGTATCATATACTGATTGTCGTCTCGTGAGCTTGTATTTTTGACAGTGTGTTTGATATTTATTTATTTTGAGAGAGAGAGAGAGAGATGAAGGTTTAATTTTATTGGTTGCATATTTTTCCTAAAGTATGATCCTCCTTTATTTATTATTTATTATTTCTATTTCTATACTCTTTCTTTGTACTAGACAATCCATTTAGTCTTTGTATAAATAACATTAATAATGATATTTTTGAAATTTAATTATAAAAATAAATTAACGGTTGTTTCGTTATTCAAGTCGTTCAGTAACATGAACACTTGTTACTTTGGAACTTGCTCCTCCCTCAATTAATACATATATTATTGTTATCCAATTTAATCACTTTATGTCCATGTAATTAAATCATATTATTCCTGTATGATTTGGTTAGAATTAAAATTTTAAAAATATATATTATTGATACAAGCTAAGAAATTGAAAGGGGGAAAAGTGGAGAATTGCCAAACAAATCTCAACGACTCCACAACTATAAAGCAAACGTTTCATCGTTTTCTTAGAGACCTACGCCTTCCTCCTCTTTCTTCTCTCTTTCTTTGATTCTATCGAAGAGAAAGGCCCGATTTCAATGGCTTCTTTAACTGGATTTTCATTGAAATTATCCCCTCTTTCAACTTCTTTCAAGCAAAATCAGGTCATTTCTCAATCTTCATCTCTTTTTGAATTTTTGGGTGTTTTTTAAGTTGGGGCTTGGCTGAAATGTTGATTCCTTTGTTGAGTTTGCTTTAGATTTTTTTTTAGTTTTTATGGGTTTTTGGATTTGACGGTGGGATTTGAATATTTCAAGGAAGCAATGACTTTTAAAAAATAGTTTAAAGATTGAAGCTTTTGATCTTTTGTTTTTCATCAACTTTCCAATGATACTCGATCAGTTTTGAATCGGTTATGAAAATTTTAGATTCGGATTCACAAATAATGGAGCTTGAAATCAATAATTAAAAACCAAATTCATTGTTTACTTGGCAAACGAGCTGAACCGAGTGAGCTCAAGCAATTCAATCGACATTTCAAAATCGAGTTTCGGGCTCCAATCTGTTTCGACATGGCATCCTAATACCCTGCGATTTGAATAGAGGTTTCCATCGAGTTTAATCAATTCTATTTTTCTCTGCAGGTTCGTGGGATCTGTAATGTCAACTCAGTTAGGTTCCCATCTCTTGGAATGCAGTCCGGATATGATACTCTTTTCTTTTGTGGCCTCGATTCGACGATTTGCATCTGTAAATATAGTCATTTAGCCATCCTATTCCAATACAATGCCGGATAAGATAGTCGCATAGCTGATCATAGGAACCATCGAATATAAAAATATGATCATTACCATGTAATTTTACTAATGAAAGGACCATTAACGTTCGGCCCAAGCCGGAGCTGTTTCTGGGACAATTTATTAATCCGTATCCGTCTCTAACACGTGTTCTTGTGTGGGAGTCTGATCCTCTAAACATAAGTAAAAACTCCGAACAAATTGAGCTTACTCTTGTCTGACATCCGCTTTCGAGTCTAGGTAACTGTTCTAATCTGTACAATGCTGAATAAGATAGTCGACTAGCCGATCATCAGAACCATTGGTTATAAAAATATGATCATTACTGTGTAATTTTACTAATGAAAGGACCATTAACCGCTTTTGAGTCTAGGTTACATAGTTCATCTCCATGCCGTCCACTTTCGAGTATAGGTTACATAGTTCATATCCATACCGTCGATATTTTATCGATCACTTTACGATGATGGAACCTTTACATGCATTTCTCCTTTAAAATTGATGTGCTTAGCCTGTTATGGGTATTTTGATACTTCCAGGCTAAACCTGAGACCTTGGAAAAAGTTTGTGGCATAGTGAGGAAGCAACTGGCACTGCCAGAAGATTCTTCCGTCACCGGAGAATCGAAATTTACTGCACTTGGAGCTGATTCTCTTGACACGGTAAGTAACCAAACATTTACCCTATGGACTGTTATTATCCTATACACTCGTGTTCTCGTGATTCAGGTCGAGATTGTGATGGGACTTGAAGAGGAATTTGGAATCAGTGTGGAAGAAGAGTGCCCAACATATTGCCACCGTTCAAGATGCAGCGGATCTGATCGAGAAGCTCGTGGAGAAGAAATCCGCTTAAAATGTCGTCGTCGGAAATCCACAGATCGGTCGGTAACGAGTCCACGGCATTGTCCCCTGTTCAGCTTCTCCAATGTTGTCGTATTGTTAGTTTGGTTAATCATCATTGTGGTTAGAGTTTATGTAAGAACTCAAATGTCCATTTCCATGTTGTCCCGAGGCATTTGTTCTATGATAAAAAAAAATCAAAATTTTATACATTCATTCAATCCAAACTCGAAAATAACCCGAATAAAAAATAACACGAATTTAAAACCATCCGAACAAATAATCTGACCCGAATGCGAACTCGAAATAACTTAGTCCGAGGGTAGATGGTATTGACCGTTGACAAATCTCATCTTCATGTCAGAGATTTTATTACACAAGTATTTCATAAGACTATAAGCCAAATTTGCTGAACCATACAATTGATTAATATTCATTGATATAAGACTTTTATCGGTTGTAACTTGTTATTGTTTTATGATAGAATGTAATTACATACTATTATTTTGATCTAATGGACTCATTTAGTTTAATAATATCGTATGGGTTAATGTTATTTTTAAATACGAATGATTAAATTTATTGAACTACTTTAAATCAATACTAAATTATAAATTACATAAATTTAAAGGATTAAAAAAGTTAAATACCCTTGAATGCAGAAAAGAATTACAACCAGTATCTGTCATTCATTTCCTCATAGTAGTACTCTTTCAGTTTCAGTTTGGGCAATAAATGAAAAATAATAAATATCGATTAGAATACACTCGATTCGAGTTTTTAACGAGCCGAAACGAGTTATTTAATACCCCACTCGAAAAGTCCACGACCAACTCGAAAATATAATATATTAAGAGTTCATTTTTAAAAAAATTGTTAAATTACTAATAATATTAATATTTATGTGTTGATTCTTTTAATATATATATAATATAAGGTTTTAATTTATTTAAGGTTTAGGTTTGAATTTGAGTTTGAACTTTAATCAAGTTAAATTTAAGACTTTTTTTTTATTTCGAGCTTTTATAAACTTCAATTTATGATTTTCGAGTTCAAGTCGAGCTTAACAAATTTAGACTTATAAGTTTTCGAGCCGAATCAAACTCTATTTTAAAATTTTCGAATAAAAAATCGAGCTCACTCAGCTCGTTTACAGCCCTAGTTTCACTACCCTAAAAAAATCCCAAAATTTATCTATTCCTCAATCTTCTCTTTCAGTTTCAACCAAAACCAATTGATTAATTAAAGTAAAAGATTAATCCCCAGTTCAATTCTCTTCCATTTCAACCCTTTAATTATAGAGAATTAATGATTTTTATTTAATACAGTTTGGCTTTTTTTATTGGTGCAGAGAGAAGTCGTCTTTCTTCGTTGGTGGTCGGAAATGGCGAGCGTGGTTGATGCGGCGGGTGAACCGATCCCGACATCGTCGCACGTTGAGATTATTTGTATGCCCGAAAACGTGGAGTTCCTCAAATGTAAGAAGAAAGATCCTAACCCTGAGAAATGTCTGGATAAGGGCCGTCAAGCTACTGGCTGTGCCCTTGGACTGTAAGCACTTTGATTCTTCAAATTTTGCTAATTTTCAATTTATATGCTGTGATTGTTGATCTTCTTTTTGCTGGGTTTTGTGGATTTTAAAAGGCGTTGGAGAAAGCTTGCCCTTTGGAGTGATTCTCGGCAAACAAAGCATTGTCTGAGATTTCCATTCTTGAAATAAGTTCTGCAGTGGAGCAAAAGCTCTTGTCCATGTGATAAGCAATGCCCCTTCTATTAAAAAACCCAAGATGGTAAGCGGTTCTCGGTCCCTGCGGAAAGAGATCGAGTGATGGAAGTTTAGCGAATTGAGGGAAGATTATGGCGAGACAATCCGTTAATCCTAGAATGTTACGAGCGAAGGTGCAGCAGCTGAGGCAAATACTAAATATACCTGTAGACTCAAACCTTGTTCCTACATAATCCAGATCAATTCGACTATGTAGTTGAGGCAAATATTAAAATAGACCGGTAGACTCGAACCTTGTTTCTACATAATCCGGATCAATCCGAATATGCAGTCGAGGCAAATACTAAATTAGACCGGTAGACTGGAACCTTGTTCCTACATAATCTGGATCGATTCGAGTATGCAGTTGAGTTAATAGAAGTACCTGGAACTGCTACCTTTCAATTGATGAACATGTCCATCAATTTTTTTAAAGTCCACATTTGTCTGATCTCTGTAAGAAAACACAATAAGAGACATCAAACTCAAAAGAGCTGTAAGAAAAGAAAAGCAGCCTTGGAAGGAGCTAAGTTGACACAGAGAGCAAGTTTTTTTTTCTTACAAAGCAATGGTGAGTTCATTGAGAATTTTATTGAAATCATTGAAGAAAATGGAGACAACTTCAGCAACAAAATCTGGGTTGCTCTCATCTTGAAGCTGTTGCAGCTGTAAGAACTGACCATCCAAGAAACCCTGCTCTCACCACCAACAACAACAGAAAGCCAAAACGTTCTCTTTTTTTTTCTTTTTCTTTAAGAAATAAGTTGTTGATCTTCCTCAATCTAGATTTTTTTTCTTCATTTCTTTAGCTTTTGATGTTATTTTTCAGTGTTTTATGTTATGTTGAAAAAATTAGCCATATTCAAAGACCGAAAACTCATGTTATTCTATAAATTTTTAGAAAGTATTCTAACATTCATTCATTTCTACTATGCAAACAACTGACCTCCTCTTAAGAAGTCGGATTGAATATTATGTCATGTTGTGCAAGGTTAAAGTTCACCTCTACTATGTTCCTTAACATATTTCATTACTTTTGAGTACTGGATTATTTCTTCCTATCACTTTGAATTGAATCCATTTTATGATCAGTTTATAGATAGTCAATAAAATTAACTCAATCAAAAATAAAAGATGAGAAAAATTAAAATATGGATTTATATCATTAAAAACAATTCCATAAAATATTTTCAGTAAATATTACTAAATAATGAAAAATAAATTACACAACATTATCCAAACACCGAAAAATACTTTTCAAAATTTATTTTTAAAAAATTATAATTCACTCTCCAGAATTTATTTTCTAAAAAACCAAAAAAAAAAAGACTCTAAATAACTTCCTACTTTTTCTCGTTAAATTAATTCATCGAATATAAACACCTTTTGCAGTTTTACAAATCTTTTTGATGTTTGATGAATTTAATTTGTCGGGAAACAAAATTCCAAAGCCTTTTGTCTTGTCTAAGGCCTACTGTCGCCACTTGCTAGTTTCTTTTCATTATTGATGCATATCATGGAAGCTTATATTCAATATGCCAATGATGAATACTTGGCCTTAGCTTCTTTTTTGACGTTATTTGAATTGTCGTATTAACTGAGATTAAAATTTTAGAAAGGATAATTTACTCTCTTTTTTCCAGTGAAAATCCCTTTATCTTTTATAGTTAATTTCAGTTATCCAATGATTTAAAAATATTTTTTTATTAAGTGATTATACAAAGTATTGACACCATATTCCCACGTAAGCCTAATTCGGGTCAGGCCATGATCCCATTTTTTCTGACTGACTCTAGCAAGTTGGGTAACCCGAATTCAAACTGGAACGGTCCAAATTCATAAACTTTAGTACAAGACTCAGTCGTAACAGATTATGGACTGAGACTACTAGCTTGATCCTTTTGGTAATGTGTTCATATAACTCAAAACCATTTAACATTGAACACTCACACTTGTGATATTTTTGGTGCTCGAACTAGGGATCTCAGGGAATAACAATAATTTTTTTACCATTGAGGTCGTTCGGTTCGTGTCTACTAGCTTGATCCTTGAAAAGTCTATATGCATCTAAAAAAGGTAGGCCGCTAAAAGAACATGGGGACATTGCTTTTAGCTGCAAATTCCATCCATTGAAAGCTAACAAATGTTTTGAGCACGAGTAGAATATTGAGAAAAACTTGCTATCTGATAACACTAAATGAGAATCTTCAACAAAGAACACGTTAACCAAACTAATAAGATCGAATCCGGTTAACGGACAGGCAAAAGACAAAATGCATGAGTTTCAACTATGTTTATGAGAAACTACTGAATAACATTTGTTAATAATCCATCAAAAAAAAAACAATCAACAAAATAGTCCACACGAGGAAAATTCAGTATCCGATACGAATCGAAATAAGATCGAAGCATGTAGTATAAGGTTAACATACTTTGCAACTTCTTCTGCAATAACCAGGAAGCTCGGGAGATCCGATCATGTATTCCGGGTTCTTTGAACACTCACCGAGAGCAGCCCATCTCTCACAGCTTTCATTCAAATCTGTGCAGTTACCGCCCGCTGACAAATCCTTGTCGAACGAATCGACGTGGATCCACTTTGTTGCCGACCATTTCTCGCCTTCAATTACCGGGCATCCGGCATGCAGACTGCTCGGGTCGGGGATAGCATTAGGGTAGAGACTGAAGAAGAGAAGGGCATCCCCTCTTTTTGGTTTCACTAATTATTTCAAAGTTAAAATGCAAAGGTAAGAAAACAACAAAAGATCAATTAATTGCTTAAATATATAACATTCCAGTTTCTATGTGACTAACCTGCAATTCCCTTCTTTGCACAGTCTGAGAGATCATCTTTTGCAGGAGTTGTATGAAGGGGAGACTCCTGATGATGAAGTTATATTAGAAAAATCGTACAATGCATATAATAATACTTGCAAGATAATGATAAGGTAACTAGAGTCATTCCCGCCCGGCACCGAATTACCGGCTTAAAACACCAGTCGAAAAGAACATGCGACCGAAAGCATGTGAAATAACAGCGGAAGAGCTCTAATACAATTATGGACACTTCAACAAACCTCTGCTTCGGGGAACACTGTTTCTCCACCTTTGGTCACATTTGTAAGATACATCAGCACGGTGGCGATGCGGTGTCCGCCCCTGGCAATGTTCACCTTGTCAACAAAGTAATCGTAGTGTGGTTCGTATTTCTGCCCATGCTCATATCTCAAAACTTGTATGCCTTCCCCATTTTCTGGATGTGGCAAAACAAAAACCATCAATATGTATGTATCTAGTTTTACATTTAAACATATCATATACAAGATTAGTTTCTCAGCTAAGGATTGGCACGAAGCTTTACAATGACGATTAGAAGATGAACACATTAAGATGATTTAGATATTGAAAATTCAAAGACCATTGAAAAAATTATTCCAGATGCATAAATCATCTATCCAACTACATGGTTCAAAGATGAACAGGAATCTGCAGAACTAAGAGCCTTTATCCTATGCAAAACACCTTCCTACCCATATCATAGTCACCGGTCAATCCTGGAGGGTGAGAGTTGAGACTTTTTTTTAGACAAGGTTTAATACTTTCAAACTTGTCGATGCAATCACAATAGCAGAATCTAAATTAAAAATTAAATTGCAACCTAAAAACTTGACGAATTGAAGAGATGTTTCAAAACTCCTCAACTTATCGTTATTGTGTGCAAGAAATCTTCACATCCTGTTAAATTGTCATGAAAACATTAAGTTATGACTAGGAATAAAGGAAGTGATCGTAGTGGTCACCAATTCCAGCTGGTGTCGATGGTAGCCGAGCACCAAGGGCCATCTAGGGGTGTTGACGGAGGCCAATGGTGTTACCACTCAAATTAATCATGGTAAAAAGTTAGGATCAAGAGAGAAACATGCATGACCATCAGTTTTCTTGAGCATTTATTATTCATACCTTTGGGAAGGAATGTCCATGTTGAAATCTTTTCCTCAATACCATCAACAATAGGATCCTACAAAAAGAAGAAAAGAAATGATAATCAAATACACAAGGGTTCAACATTCCGAGTGCGACTTATCGCGCTAAAAGCTTGTCGGAGCGAATGCTTCCGACCATGATTAACACACATTTCTTTCATCATTACCATACATAATACAACTCAACCTATATAAACAATGCAAAAGCATGAAATTATCTATGGGATCGGCACTGTTACATGTAAGAGAATTGACTAAGATTTTCACCAAATCATACAAAAACAAGTACCTTTTACATCAAAAGTCCAAATTTAGAAAGCAGAAGTGTTTTAAGTGAAGCTTATCTTGAAATGCCAATAACTAAAAGCTTCCATAATTGGATAAAAATAAGATTCACAAGTAATGTACAAATATAATCTATAAATAATATATAAATATTGAACCTTTGCTTTAGCAATAAACATCCCCGAGCTAGTACGGACTTCGCTAAGCTTGCTCTTTCCACTAACATTATCAGCAACTGCAGATCTCTTTAGCTCCAATTTCGCCTTTACAGAATTAAAAAAAAATCAGATTCTTATAAAAATACTAAAATTAAACCAATTCAAGCTATAAAAAATCAACGAAAGTGGAAATGAAACTTACGATAGATATCAAATGATCGCATTCGAGGTCCGTTAAGAAGCCTTCATAGACAAAAGCCCTGCAAAAGAAAATAAACTTGAGACAAAAATGAAAGAAAATGAAATTTCTTACTGAAATTAGCTGCGAATTGAAGAGAAATTGGGGACCTAGGTTTCCAAGAAACTTGTTTGACTTTTGAAGGATTGATAATGGAGCTTGGAGAAGTCAAGAAGGAATCACAAGATAGGTACAGGAATGAGAACAATATCATGAATTGCAGAGTATAACTCCTCGAAACTGCCATTGCAAATGCGTAAGGATTTGGATAGAAAAGTGAGATTTTCTACGAAAATGAAAAGTCAATTTTTCTCGGGAAAATGATACTTTCGTGATCTGATTTCTGAGCTGTGAGCTATGAACAAGTTAACCCGTTGAAAAATATACAAGCAGCGATCCACGATAATCGGTAATACTTCAGCTAATTATTTGGATAAACTACGCATTTAGTGCCTAAACTATTAATTGTAGTCCGTTTTAGTGTCTAATCTTTTTATTTTTTTCAAAATCATACTTAATGTTTTGATTTCATTTCATTTTAGTACCTACAGTTAAAAACTTAACACATTTAGTACCTAAACTATCAATTTTGGTCTATTTTAGTATCTAAACTTTTAATTCTTTTCAAAACTTAATGTTAATTTGGAACGGGATACTAAAATGAAACAAAAACCTAAGTTTTTAGGGTAAACTACATGTTTAGTACCTAAACTATCACTTTTATTCTATTTTAGTACATAAACTTTCAATTTTTTAAAACCATACATATAGTTTACTTTTTGTTTCATTTTAGTACCAGTCGTTAAAAATTTTTGTACTAAAATGAAACAAAAAGTTAACAATAGGGTACTAAAATGAAGCAAAAAGTAAACGCTGAGTACTAAATGAAACAAAAAGTAAACATTACGTATGATTTTGGAAAAAATTGAAAGACTAGGTACTAAAATGGATCAAAAGTGATACTTTAGGTACTAAACATGTATTTTACCCAAGTTTTTAATAGTGGGTACTAAAATGAAACAAAAACTAAACTTTAGGTATAGTTATGAAAAAATTAAAATTTTAGATACTAAAACAGACCAAAACTAATAGTTTAGATACTAAACGTGTAGTTTAACCTATTTTATTTTATATTTGTCAAAGTAAACGCTGCGTTTTGCATGTGAAAAAAATGGATTTAAAAGGGTAAAAAAACATTTGGTCCCTAAACTTGACAATTTTTCTATTTGATCCATATTAGTTCCGCAACATGACAATTTTATCTATAATTTAATCCCTGAATTTAAATTTTTAATTCTTTTGATCATATGCTAATTGTTTCACACATCATCTGAAATTTTAAAATATGTATATTTTAAATAATGAGATGATAGGATCTTAGTATGGGCGGAACTTCATGGGTAAAGGGGAACCTTAATCTCCACCAATTACTTTTTAAGTATTAATTAATAATAAAAAATATATACTTTTATAAAACAAATAGATAAAATTTATCAGACCCCTTCAATTAAAAAAATTATATTTACGAAAAATAAAAAATATTTTTACCTTGCTATAATAAATTTCTAGTTACACCCCTAAATCTTAGGTGACATTTGGTTCGTTGGAATGTTTCTGAGGAATTGAATCTGTGAAGAAATTAGAATCTGTCAAGAATTAAATCCAATTTCATATTCTGTTTGGTTGACAAGAAATGGAATTGAAATCCGATTTCATATTCTGTTTGGTTCGCAGACATGTCAAATGAATTTGATTTCAGTAATGTCAAATGAATTTGATTTCAGTAATGTAAAATGACAAAATTGTCATTATTGTTTTATTTTAGGGTCTGTTTGTTTGCATGTAATTGGTTTTCCGGAAAATGAATTACTGGAATTTGAATTACTGAAAAATGAATTACTGGAATTTGAATTCTGGAAAATGAATTACATTTCTGGAAAACATCTGGAAAACGTTTTATAATGTTTGGAAGATGTTATTTAAACCCTTTTTCCATTGAAGAGCTTTTTAAAAATTATTTATTACAAATATTAAATATAATAAATAATATTATTTCTCATAAAACTTAATATTATTATTTTAAAATATTAAAATAATTTATTTATTATTAAATATTTTTTTATAATTTTATTAATAAAAATATTAATATTGGTATATTTTAGTGAAATAAAATATTATAAATATTATAAATTATTTATTAAAGTAATAGTATTATATTATATTTTAAAAATATTAATTAGTATATTTTAAATATCTTTACTAAAATATATAATATATTATTATTAAATATATAAAAAATTATATATTATTAAAATAAAAATATAATATCTTATATTATTATAATATAATTGATATTATTGAACTAAAAATATATATTATTATAAATATTAATAAATATATTTTAAATATTTTAATGATTAATATTTTGATGAAAATGATATTAAAATATTTTATTAATATTAAATTCATAAAATAAAATTATTTTGAGTATTTTTGCTTTGAATTGAAAAGTTCGAAAAATGACTTACGGAAAATGAATCCGTAAGTCATTTTACAGAAAACACAAAGGAAATTCTGTTATTAGGAAAATGAATTACGTTCCGGAAAACGAATTACGTGAAACAAACACGAGAAAACATTTTCCGGAAAACGAATTACGTGAAACACACACGGGAAAACATTTTCCGGAAAACGAATTACATGAAACAAACACGGAATTTCGGGGAAAATCAATTCCGTAATTGGTTTTACGGCAAACAAACACACCCTTAGTTTGTTTTGTAGTAATATATTATAAAAAATAAAAAATATTAAATTTTCATTTTATTTATTGATTATTCATTTCAATAAATTATAAAAATCATGCTAATAAACATCATAAGTTAAAATCATCGCAATAAAAAAATGTTAATAAGTTACCAAAAGATAGAGCAATATTTCGATACATTCCAATCGGAGTATGTTAATTAGTTACAAAAAATATTCCAAAACTATTTTTATTCAATATATGAATTAGAAACGACCAACACGACACAAAATAATAAAAAAATTATTTTTATTCAATAAAAACATTGACTTAATTGAAAAAATATATATATAAAGGTGTATTATTGTAATTATTCCTAAATATATAAGGTAAAATTATATATTTTTTCGGGTCGGTCCGGTTTTTTTCACCCTAAACCCGAACCCGACCCGAACAAAATAAAGTTTCACCCGACCCGACCCGAATATATGAATTAGAAATCCGACCCGAAATAATAAAAAAATTATTTTTATTCAATAAAAACAATGACTTAATTGAAAAAATATATATATAGGGGTATTATTGTAATTATTCCTAAATATATAAGGTAAAATTATATATATTTTCGGGTCCGGTTTTTTCACCCTAAACTGAACCCGACCCGACCCGACCCGAATATCACACTTAAAAAAACCGACCTGACCCAACCAAAATAAAGTTTCACCGACCTGACCCGACCCGAATATATGAATTAGAAACCCGACCCGAAATAATAAAAAAATATTTTTATTCAATATATGAATAAGTTATCAAAAGATTGATGAGGGTAGTATGATCAAATTTCAATTCCCTCCAACAAGGGAATTAAATTTCATCCATTCTTGGATAGAATTCACTTTCCTCATTTGATGGAAAGTTGAAGCCATGAGAGATTCCAATTCCCTTGGAAAACTTGAACCAAACATGGGAAAGTGGTGGAATTGAATTTCAATAACCCTCAATTCTAAGAGATTCATGCTAACCAAACGACACCTTAGAGTTTTACATATGAAAATGACAACCGGATGGGACCGATTTTTACCACCTTAAACTCAACCTGATTTAATATAATTTTTTTTTCTTCAAAATAGAAAAACAATTGAATAAAACAAATTTTGTAAGTTCACATAATTTACAAACTTCATTGGAGAAGAAGGAGAAACCAAAGCCACCTACATTAAGAAAAAAAGTTCTTTAAGCATCATTAGACTGTTCTAAAAGAATCCACATTTGATGATTGATATCATTCAAGATCTTCGTTGAATTGTTTTCTTCTGCATCGAAGATCTCCTCCGAGTATGTCCTTTGAAGCGTCGCCTCCGATTCCCATTGTTTCAGCACCTCCAGGCCTCTGTCATTACCCTTCAGAATCTCTACAACCTGCATCCAAATGCCATGTTTGAATCAATCAATAATCTACTATGTTAGTTTGGCTCGGGGTTCTTAGCGTCGAACACAGATGTCTACAACCCGACTCGTTCCGATGGAATGCGAGACACACTGGAATTCTCCTATTTAGGCAGAGTCATAGGCCTTTCATTGTTTTGCCACCATCAGGTGTGTCTTTACGTTCGAATCAGGAGCACAACACACAGATGAGTTATAGGCCTTTCATTGTTTTGCCTGCAAGAATTTGGATACATCAGTGTTTGTTGCATAATGGTCTTGGTCATATACTTATATCTGAAACGAAAACTCGATTCCGAGTTAACATAATGATGGAGCAAAGCAAACCTACCCACATAACAAGGCTTTGTTGTGAGCTATCTATGGCTTGCCTCCCGGTGATGAGCTCCAAGAGCAATACACCAAAAGCATAAACATCTGTTTTTTCATCGACCACGCCGTGCATGAAGAACTCGGGTGGAAGATAAATGTCATGACAAGATTCTGTTGGAAATTTTTATGTAATAAAAGCATTTTCAAAGGTTCGAAACACCATTTGGGATTTAAAAAAAATAACAAACCCAAATGTTCCTTCGACTTTAGAGACTGTATGATGAGTCCATTGATCAGGTAACTATTTTGCCAGTCCAAAATCACATATCTGGAATCACTATGGAAATTCAGCCTCAAGCTATACATATATATATATGTATGTATGCATCTATGTATATATGTACGTAATTGAGCATCAAAGTCTTCTGAAAGCAAATGTTTGAAGCCTTGATATCCTTATGGATAATTCTCCTCTGGCAACCCTCATGAAGATAGCAAAGGCCTTCGGCAGCCCCTAAAGCGATCTTGAATCTGAGTTGCCAGTTCAGTTTCTCCTTTGACCCTGTATATATGCATATGAACAAGTTGAATTAAGCACTTTTAAGGAAAATCGAACTTAAGATAGGCTTAGGGGCAAAAACGAACCATATAGTATTGATGCCAAGCTTCCATGGGGAGACAACTGAAGAACAAGGTGCATCCCTCCTTCAACTCCATAACCAATCAATTTAGCAATGTTAGGATGATCAACATGCACTATAATTCCGAGCTCAGATAAGAAATCGATGGCCTTTGTAAACCTCTGCATACCCTCCTCCTATCAAATTTTCTTCTCAAGAAAACACAAACATTATCAAATAAATGTTTATTAAAACCAAACATAAAACGATCAAGTCGTATGATGAAATAAAAAAAATACCAGGGCTGAAGTTATCGGTTGCTTCTTGAAGATCCGAAAGCGAGAAGTTCGTCCAGGAAGATTTAAAACCGCCTAGTTCAGCATCAAGAGCTGAACATAGATTAGGAAGTATGTCATCTCTAAATCTTTTCCTGCTTTTCTAGCGAGTGTAGGCTTGACCGGAGGTAAGGATTGAGAAGCGAGTCCTCTTTTCAGTATCCGAGAGAATCCACGCCATTGAACAATCTGAGATATTCCATTTTGAGATTCAGGGTATGATGAAACTCTGGCCTTATTAGCAGAAGTTGGCTCGGATTCTATAGACTCTGCACTTCCTGTAGATTCTTCATTTGGTTCTATGCATTCCGTGGTGGTTGTCGAGCAGTCCTCGAGTTCGGTGCCTAATGACACAACTTCTGAAAATGATAACAGAATCCTAACATTCCATTAGCAAAGGTTGTTGGAGTTACTTGTGACATTTAGATTCTGGGGATCAAAGAAATGAATGATCAAAATATGCCAGCCATAGTCTTATCGGAGAAAGCGTGTCGATGATTTAGTTTCCGTAATTGGCGAAAAGGCTCCCATTTCCTCTTTTCAGTGGCTCCTTTCTTGACAGTTTTTAATACCAGCCGATGTTTCACCACTACAAATGGGGAAATCAAACAAGCAGATGGTGTGAACAACTAGTAACACACACACACATTATCAATTATTCTCAACAAGTACACAGCTGCATGCTTAAGCACTGAGATTGTGAAGAACATATTCAAATGCCATTATTTTGTGTGTACATAGATGCATATATATGCTCGTGTGTGTAAAAGAGACTTAAAAATATCAAATTTCAAAGCATAAACACATGAATCTTCTAAATTCTAAATTTTGTGTGCATATATATATATATATATGCTTGTAGTTTAAATTTTGTGTATATATATACATGTTGCCTTAGTGTTGTGAAGGATGCAAGCTGTGGTAATCTAGACGAGGCCACATCTGGGGCAAGTGGAATATTGTTCATCGTATCTTATAATATTCCATGGGAGCTCCAAAAGGCCAAACTTCATAATCTTCTGAATTTAGTTCCTCCTGGTTCATGCTTACCGCTTCTAGTCTTAAGTGGTTCTTATAATGTTGAAGATTCCGATCCTTGGTCAGTTATAGTTAATGAATTGGGGCTGCATAACATTGACAAATTACGAGTATGTCGCTTTTTGGTTGTTTTCCTTGTTGGTAAGCAATATTCAGAAAGCTCAAATGGGTTTCTCAGTGATGAGAAGTTAAGGGAAGGGCTGAAGTGGCTAGCCAATGAATCACCTCTCCAACCTGTTCTTAACGGTGTAAAGACACACGACCTTGTAATGTCCCACGTGAGTCCAGTTTTGGAGGAACTGGACAAGCTGAGTGATTATGAAGTAGGTCCGAATCACTGCATCGCAGTCTTCAATGAAGCATTGGATTGGTCATCGCAAGAACTTGCTGCTGCTATTAAAGCAAATCCTACCAATTGGCCTTGTCCGGAGATTATGTCACTAAAAGATTTTAGCGACGAATTTTTAGCTGTGAAGTTATTCTTGCCTAGTGTGGGGTGGAGCTTGACAGAAAAAACTGCGCCACTTGAATGTGCGTTGAAAAATTGTCAGCTTCCTCGTTTTCCTGATGATATCTCATTGTTGCAAAGTGGTTCCAAGATGGGAAAAGATATTGATAACCACAAATTACTACTTGAAAACTGCTTGGCAGAATACCTAACACAGTCAACAAAGATGATGGGGGTTCAACTAGCTACAGAAGAGACATCCGTGATGTTGCAAAGAAACACACGGCTTGAGCTGCGCAACTTGAGCTACTATCTTGTCCGAAACTGGATCACAATCTTCCGACGGATTTTCAACTGGCAGCTTTCGAGTTTATCAACCGGGGCATGCTCCTTTTCTAATGTATTGCAGACTCATCGTGTCCCCCCAATGTCAGGAAACTCAATTAAGTTGCGGCTTGAAGTCGAAACTTCACCTCATTGTTTGAGTCATCCATCTTTAGATGAAATACTTGAAGTCGGTTTTAGTCCCCTTAAGTCTCAGAGGATTAGGTTCAATCCTGAACCTTCTCGAGTGGAGACCGCATTCCACAAAGTAGTTAAAGAGGCTGCTACAACCAATAACTCCCAGAATTCATTGGATAAAGATGATAATTCTTCACAGGAGCATGGATTGGCAATTGTAGATGATGTTGCTTGTACAACCGGCAAACCAAATGATAGTCTCGGTGAAACGACAGAGGCCATAACCAAAACGGATAGATTAAGGCGGTTGCTGGAGAAATGTAACATGGTACAGAATAGTATAAGTGAGAAGCTATCAATATACTTATGATATACGGTTCCTTTTTGTAACTTACATCTCATTAAATTTGAGCTGGTTTTGTAATGTTATATTTGTTTCTTTTGTATGATGAGAAATTAAGCCTGCATGCTCTCTCTTCTTGATCACACTTGTAATTGATAAGATCCTCGTCTGTGAGTTACCAAATGGTTGGTCAGATACCATACCATATTGATATTCAATATTGACCGATTGTTTCGGTTCAAATTCAATAATTACAACAGAAAAAAGATCATAAAGGCAGTTAATTTGTCATTATGCAGCTTATGTACCATAAAAGTACTACAGTTAACATATCTCACGTTAAATTTACACAATCCATGTAGGGCAGTTAACAATCAAGGTTATATCTGCCTCACATCATCCCAGCAGTGCTGGAAACAACTGAGATTTAAAGGCAACAAAATAGAATAGTTCTTCTCTTCCTCGGAAGCATGTTAACATTGAAATAGCGTATTTCCGGATCCTTATCATCTTGTGAATATCAGCTCTTACCTTGCTAAACATAACTTACCTTCGATCTTGAGAAAACAATTTCTTTTCTACATACGTTCGGATTACTAGGTGCAAGATCGCCGCCAAGAGCACACCATTTGCTTGACAAATACAGTGTTATCAGCAAACAGCAAGATGTCATGGGGCCTTGACATCATTCACCATGAGAATCTTGCACCATGAAAGTAACTTCTCTGTTTCCTTTTGGCTACCCCACATTTAATTGTAAAGGCCTTTTCCGCATTGGCGATGGAACAACAATCGCAGCACTTCGATTCATCGACACACTCTGTTGGAAAGACTGCTGAGTATCTGAAAAATCACTTCTTACTGAATCATATGTTTCCGACTCCGAGACACTGCACATATTGAGACTTCCCTTTACCGACCTCATAACCATTGGCCTGCAATCCACTCTGCTATCTGTGGCACCAGCACCCGACTGCAAGAAATCAAAAAAGTTGGTTAATCACAATGCAGTTATTGACAAGTGAAATAGGAACTTAGTGATTGAATTCACTTTTTTTTCCTTTTTTTCTGAATCAAGTTAAATTAAATGCAAAACGGAACTTAGTGACCTAAAAGTCCATATTTCAATTACTTCAATGAAAGAATACACCAGCACCAGAAAAAAGCTCGCATTTTTAATATTTGGAGAATTTGAACAGCAAGAGGAAACTTTAAATAGTGCATACATTTGACAAGCCTTTAATCTGTACAATGATTATTGTAATATCATCAGTCCGATTTTCATTATCCAACCAAAGTTTGTAGGATTCTCCAGCAATCGCAGCACATGCATCCCTGGGATCCGTGTATGCCGCTGCCTATGTGAAGAAAACAAAAAAAAATTGTTAAGGACATCTCAAATGACTCAAATATCTTCGAAGAATTGTAATAAGATAATTAGTGAAAATGTTCAAGACATCAATAGTTTAAAAGTTCACAAATGGTACAAAAAGCAAAAGACATCGTAAAACTCTTTTGCGCTACCATTTTACCGTTTACACTTGCCGGTATAAACAAGTTTACAAACATCATTTGGCAAGGAACATACATTTAAATCTAACGTAAAGACACTTCATCAGTTGCTTGCAATCAAAATGCAAATATGAGCAACCCTTTTAATGTCAATATATGATGGAAACACAAAGTATCATAAAAAGGACTGAAACATAATTGATAATTGTATGAATCATACCATGTTGACAACAGTTTGGCTTGGGAGAAACTCGAAAACTCCATCACTTGCAACGACAAAGAATAGATGATTAGGTGTGAGCTGAACAACTTTAATCTCGGGTACAGCAATCACACCAATCGTCTCCGCTGTACTATCACCTACACTCCTACTAAATGCAGTCCCAGGATACATCCCATTAGGAACCCACAACCTTGGAGGATCACCGCCTTGGCTTTCTTCATCGCCCCAATTTTGAACATTCGGGTCTTTAAGGCCTTCCACTTGATCAACACTCAAGACCCTGGCACCGCAACGCTTCACCCTTTCATATTCATCTTTCCTAAATGGTGTTTGATCCTCGGATAAATCCTCAGCCAAAACTCGATCCCCATACTTAACAGCCATCACAGCTCTCGAATCCCCAACATTAGCAACATAAAGTGTATCCCCAACAACAAGCACAGTTATTGCTGTGGTACCACTCATAGTATCATCAATCTCACTATCATGTAACTCAGAATTGGTAGCTAAAAATGCTGAATTATAAGCTTTCAAAGGATCGTTCAACAGAGAGGGGTCACTAGATAGCATTTCTATAAGCCTATCCTTAACAAAGTTGGAACAGTGAGCACCGTATTGACCATGTCCATCAAAGACACCAAAGAAATGAACATTTGGGTCACCTTGAATTTGTGTTTTGATGCAGAAACTATCTTGGTTTTCCCTCTCCACTGTGTCTGGGTAGTAACCATGCTGTGTTAAGGCTGAGCACTGCAAAGTAAAGTTGTGAGATGGAACAGGAATCAACTCCAATGACCTCTCTGTAAGAATGTGTTTGCATTTGTAAGGTTTCTTTTCTTTATGGTGACCTGAATCACCATCTGATGATGATGGATATCTAGAACAACACTTTCCAAGAACACATCCCATGATTTCAAATCAAAATTACACACACACAAAAAGGTGCAGCTTAAATGTTTGATAAAAGGCCTAAAAGAAACTGAATTTAAAATCAATGGAGGCAGTAGAAAGATTCAAACGAAAGGGCAAGTGGAAAAATGGGTTTTTGTTAAAGCTAACATTCTGGGTATTTTAAGGGGAAGTATGGTTAGAAACATGCTTTAAAGAGACGAGAAATTGAAAACAATGAACAAAGAGAAACAGAACCAAAAAAAAAGGAAAATAAACAGCAAAAGAAATAATTTTTATAATGACAATGCAAAAGCAAGACCGTGGGGCTTCTGAGAAAAAAAAGGAAAGGTGAGAATAAACCCCAGAACAAGCAAAAGAGAAACAGTGAAATTCTAAATCAAGGATGGGGAAAAGAAGCAAACACAATGAGGCGACGCTTTCTTTTGATTCAAGGCAAAAAGAAAAAAGGATCTCTTTCTTGAGAGAAAACAGGGATCAGAATGTGATCAGTTACCCGGAAAGGGGAAAAGAAAGGAATCAGTGCCAGAATCCCAAAAGAACAAAAAAAGGAAACCCTAAAATTGAGGGGAAACGTGGGGTTGATTGCTTCAGGTTTTCAACTTTGTCGAGAGAGAGAAAGAAAATGGAGGAAAATCGAAACTGTGCATGGGTTCATTTTGTCTTTACCCCGGGAAAAGTAAGAACAAAGAAACGAAAACAATGGAGAAATTACTTTATATATATATATATATCATAGTTTACTTTTATTTATAAATAAATATTTTTTTAAAAATAACCAAGATATTTTATTTAAAAAAATCGTATCAATAAACATTTTGTCAATTACAGACGGAACAAATATAGTCAAGATTATCGAAAATAAAATATTAATGATGTCTTATTGATAACTTAGTAAACAAAACCGTTAACAAATAAAATAACGACGTACATAAACTGAACACATCAACGACTTCGAGCATCAAAACACGAAGTAGATAAACTGAATATTATGTTGATATTTTTAATGTGATTTACGTTCCTCGGTAGTTATCCAAAACTTAAACAAATAAATGTATATTAGTTACTTCTAGATAACAATTCTTAGTGATTTTAAATAGCTAAATTTATTCTCAAATTCAATTTATACGTATAAAAAGAGAATATAGGCTGTTTAATGATTGAATTCAAGATTAATATTACATTCGTATTATATTTTTCTCTTAATCTAACTCTTTATCTCAAAAAAAAAACAAATTTAATGTGGCATTTTGATCATTTTTTCATTTGAACGGTATGATGCTGAGATGACAGTTCAGGATATGACGTGGTGGTCCATAATACTAACGTGCAATTCACGATGCCAACGTGGTGGTCTACGATACTGGCGTGACAGTCCATCTGTTATGTTCGAGTTACCAATTTAACACATCTGTCATGTTATCTGTTACATTATCAATCAATGTGGACTACCACGTCAATACCGTGGACTGTCACATCAACACTGTAAACTCTCACATTAGTACCGTAACGATCAAAGACGAAAAACATTGATTAAAGAGTCATGTTAGGTTTTTTTTAATTAAAAGGCCACATTGATAGAAAAATAATAATATGAGGGCTACATTGTTTTTTTTTAATTTCATGGACCTCTTATGTTTTTTTTACCTTTAATTTATACAGTGAAATTGTTTATAATCACGTGCAAGCTATGTAATCATATATATGTGTATACACACATGATATATGCCAAAATCCTCATTATCATAAGATCTGAGGCTATTTTTCATGCGAGCTACATAATCATTGTAAACCCCTTTTTATGATTATTATTGTTTTAAAATTGATTGTAGTTTAAATTCTAAATTTATGGTAATTTACGTTAATCATCGTTGAATTTTATTCCGTCTCTTATTTTACTCACAGTACTTTAAATTAGTTTAATTTTCTTACTGAATTTAATATAATTAATATTTTAGTCACTCGTCCGTTAAATATTTAATGACAAACAACGTCATTTTATGAAAAACAAAATTTTCACCAAAATGACGTCGTTTTGCATATATATATTAGTTCATTTATAACATCGTTCAGTGAGAAAACAATTGAGTGACAAATAAAATGCTAATTGTATTAAGTTCAGTGAGAAAATTGAACAGATTTAAAGTACACTGAGTGAAATAGGAGAGTGAGTAAAGTTCAATGATGATTGGTGAAAAATTACCCTTAAATTTAATTATATTAATTTCGAGTAAAAGTAATCTATTTTTCGCATCATCTTATGTAAATATGCATAAAAAGTGTTTAAGAATTCAAATTTGAGGTAAGATCGGTGATATTGCCTTAATAATCAACCAGATAAATTAAATTGATCGATTTTATTTGACAAATATTTAAGGTTATAGTTTAAGGCTTCAGGTCATTTAAGTTTTGAAAATATATACTATTATTGAAAGACATATACTATCATAAAAAAAAATTTGTTTTTAATAAATTTTGATTTTTTCGGTTGGATAAAGTACATTATAAGTTATTGAACTATGTTAAAATGATCTTTTAGTCGATACAATTTTAAATGTTATATAATGATCATTAAACTTATCAAACTATTATAAAATGATCATTGCAATATTATAAATAACAATTTTGATAAATTTAATTACCATTTGTAATAGTTTGACAAGTACAGTGAGTATTTTATAACGGTTTGATAAATTATAATGACCAATTTATAATCATTTGAGAAATTTAATGACTATTTCATAATATTTAAAATCCATTAGCTAAAGAGAATATTTTAACATATTTTGATGACAAAACCTTAATAGGTTAACTCTCAATAGTAACTTAATAAAACACTAAAACCTTAATAGTAAAATGAAACGTCTATCACTCTAGAGATAAATGGTTCGTCTAGGGTAATTAAAAAATCGTATTTATTTATATTTGTTACTAATTGATATCATATACACAAAGAAGACATAATTATTAAAATCAATACCTCTAAAAAAATGACATATCCTTTAACCACTAAAATCATAATAGGTTGATTTGATTTTTTTTTGCTTTCTAGTTCAAATGTTTTATCTTGACTAATATGGACTAACTCAGATTGTACACCTAGTTTGGGTATGTGAGTTTTCGAATGAATATTTTTTTTAAACGATATCAAACTATTTACCATTTAAATCACTTATTGATTGATTTGATAATTTCTTTAAAAAAAGGAATAAACAAAATGTGAAATTTTCCATATAAACCTTAAAAAAAACATGAGATTTTTTTTTCCATATCGTTCCACTACATATAAACTTCAAAAATATTTTAGGCGTGTCAAATCTAAGTGGGCTGCATTATAATGGTGCTTCCAATTCCGAATATCGTCTACACCCACCATTCTGATGTTGCCACGTGTCCCTTTAAAAATCGTCACCACTAATTTCTTTTATCTTTTTCTACTAAATTCCACTCACATTCCATCATCTTTTTCAACCAATCAAATCATCCACGTCATCATATTAGTTTTCCCCGCCAATTAAAAATTTTTACTCTCTAAACTAAACCCCCTCGCCACCTTTTTCTTTTTATCTACCTTTCTTCTTCTTGTTGTTTTTTCCGGCGATTAGCGGCCGTGAATGTTTGGAAAACGACGGTACCAGCGGCGAGGAACTCATCAATTGCGAAAGTCCGGCATTTGAGTCCCAACGGTTCCATAGCACGCGCCACCTTCGTCCAGACTTCACGGCTGTTACTCGTCGTGGAAATCGAAACCGCCGCCGGCTTGAAAACCTGGACGGCTTTCTTCAAGGTCTCGACAATGTCGACGTCTTCGTCGTAAACGGAGCCGACACACTCGAAGCTAGCGTAGCTGTAACCGTCTTCAGGCGTAACATGAATCGTCGAGTGTCGATTGCCGTCGACTCCGTTCATGGAGTAACCGCATGGATCGAACGCGAAATCACAAATGAAAGCGCTAGGGTTTATGTCGTCGATACCCGTCAACTCCGTCATCTCCCTTCCCGCCAAATCCCCTGTTTTGCAATCACCGATCTTTTTGAAGAATTTGCGCGCCAGATGGTGGTCGAGCTCCGTCATGCAAACTTCGAACGTGACGTCGGAATTCAGGTTCCGTCGGAGGTGATGATTCTGATCGGCGGCGGTGAATACATGCCACGAATACGAAGGGTTCTTCGACGGCATAACGGTGGCTTTCCTGTAAACAAGATGGTTCGGCAGATTCTCTTCGATGTAAATCACTTCTTCTTTGAAATTGGTATGGGGAAAAGGTTGTGATTTGGGGAAAATGAAGCTCCCTCTGGTGTAACGACACTCGCATAACGTGAGATTAATCTTGCCGGAAAAGTGAACCAATGGACCAACGGATTTGAGAAGCTGAGTCGTCCCACAGGTTTTGATGATGATCTTATTCGGATAAACGAACAAGCTCGATTCCGATAGCACATAAGCGTCGAAGAAATGGTTGCCGACGGCGGAGACGACCGTGCAGTGGACGGCATGGAGGACTTGTTCAAGTGATTCGAAATCAATCAGCCTAAGACCCATGTTTTCCAACGGATCATCACCGAAGAAACGAAGCTCCAAACGCTTCTCAAACCCTTCGAACCTTGAAACCGCCATTGTTGAAACCTCGAAACAGATGCCCAGAAGAAAGAAAAACAAGAACCCAGGAACAGGGAGGTGAAAACAGGGACTGGGATGGTGGGATTCGAGTGATTGGAGGACTACAGGGTGAGAGAGAGAGGCCAGGGGAAATATGGGGTTTTATAGGTGAGATTTTGTGTGTGTGGGAGTGAAAGGGGCATGAGGGTTGAGGCAACCGAGAATCATAATTGCAGGCATAATGAAGGTGAAGAAGATGATGATATGCTGTTTGTTTTTGTACAATTTCATGGTTCTGTTTTTTGGGTTTCGATTTTCGATTTTGATTTTGTGCAACAAATCTTTGTTTTTGTACAACTAGGAGGATTACAAACGAACGGGAATTATGCCCACGCGCATGCATCTAAGGTTTTTGTCTTCCACCTCTATTTTTCATATTTCATACAATTTTCTCCTCCAATTTCTTCCCTCTTAATAAGTACGGTAATAGGATTTTATTTCGGTTATAACCTAAAATATTATGAAAAAATATTATACCTGGAAAAAATAAGAAAAACATAATATCTTAGATTACGCGTAAATTAAAATATTATGTTGTTTATAATATTTTAAGTCGTGTATTTTTTTAGTCTTATATTAGATTGTCTCACCCTAAAACTCATGAATCAACTCGACAACATATAAAATATTTATATAACGTTTGAAGGGCAAAAACGTTTGATGGCGTGGACTATAATTAAAAATATAATTTCATATTAAGGTATAAATTTATATTAGAAATTTAAAATGATAAAGTTTTTATAATAGATTTATCTTATTTGGGTTTTTTATTTACTATATATTTGAATATATGAAATTTTTAAGCAAATATATTCATATCGAATTTATATCTTAATTCAATATTTATTGGATTCAGGCACATCCCAAACAATATGGAGGTCATGTATTGCTTTTAAAAATGAGGCCCATAATATGTAAGAAGAATATCATAAATGATTTTTTTTATTAAAAATGGGGATCTACGAGGTTTTTTTATTAAATTTTATAATAAAAAACGATTAAAGATATTGTCAAAATATTCGTTTATAATTTTTTCTATCATTTCCTTAAGAACTAAACAAAAAGTTTAATTTTTCAAACAAAAATATTATTAAGGCATAAATGTTATACATAGACGAAACTAAATGACATTTATAAGTGAAACCCTTAAATCTTCTAAAATTCTGTGACGAATCACTTATTACATTTAAGAGAAAATAACCTCAGTGACCAAAAATCCCATATAATATACGATTTTAACCAACTTTTTCCGGATTTGCCAAAATGACCAACAAAATCGCAATGCGATCGCTAATTCGTAACGCGATCTCCATTATCGCAAATTCGCGTTGCATTTTCGCAATGCGATAGTTGAAAATTGCGTTGCGATGGTCTACAGTATCGTTGCGATTTTCCCAATTCGCAATGTGAATAAGTAAATCGCAACGCGAATTGGGAAAATCACAATGCGAATAAGTAAATCGCAACGCGAATTGGGAAAATCGCAATGCGATAATAAAAAATCGCAACGAGATACTTACTTTCGCAACGCGATACTGACTTTCGCAACGCGATTCTGACTTTCGCAACGCGATAATACATAATCGCAATGCGATTTTCAAAGCGCCATTAGTATCCTGGCCAAGTATTTTATTTTTAAATTCCAAACACGAATATTAATATATTGGAACACTGAACTGTCCACAGTATATCCCGTAATCGCAACTCATAACCTAAAACCTAAAATCACAACTCAGTCTCATCTCCATCTCTCACTCTCTCACCCATCTCCGACGAAATCCGTCCCCATCTCCGACGAAATCCGTCTATCTCCATCTCTCAGAGCCACCCTCACAATCAGAAATGGAAAATCAACCAAATCAACCAACGAGGGTTAGTTTTTTTAATTATTTTTCTTTTTGAAAATTTTGCATTATTATTAGGTTTTTCATATTGAAATTGATGATAAGTTTACTGGTAATTTCAATAATAGATTAACCATTTCACTTAGATTGCTTATTAAATCAACCGAGAATCGCAACGCGAAATGCAAATCGTAACGCGATTTTAGTTTCGCGTTGCGATTCTCTCGTTGCGATAGTCGAATTCGCGTTGCGATTTTCATTTTCGTGTTGCGATTTTCATTTTCAGAAACTATTCTTCTTCTGCAAATTGAAACTTGAATGAATTGCATTACTTCAATAAAAAAACAAAGACAAATACGAAATTCACAGTGTTGCATATTTAAGTTTGAAGAATAAACTACTACTATTTATGTTTATATTATTGTTTTTTGTATATCTTCACAGTGTAGTTTTTGGTATATCTAATTTAGTATGTTTATTGTTTTTGTAGAACTTTTATTCGGCTCAATTGACCTTGAGAAATAAAGTCAGCCTGGCCAAAACAATTGCGTCGAAGCTTTCACCTGCACAAAGAAAAATGTTTGAGGATACATGCTTCGGGCCATGGCTGAAAGTACAACATCCCGGTGGAGATGCGATGTTGACACACCTGTTTCTTCAAACCATGACTAGCGATCTACCAGAGACTATACAACGTCGTGATGAAGAGATATGGTTTGATTTTCCACCGGCGTATACGTGTTTTGGGCGGGAGGAGTTTTGCTTAATCACCGGTCTACGCTTCGGACACGATGATGTAGGTCGGTACACTAGACACATTACCCGCCCATCATGGCTATCCCGGGTTTTTCCTGAGCTGGAGAGGCCGAGTCTACACGTAGAAGACCTGACAAGATTTTTGAATAATAAGATGGTTTTACTCGGATGGATGACGTCGACGTTGTCCGAGTATGCCTTCTAATTCTTTTGCATGCCGGCTTTTTAGGCAGAGAGGCCAGACAACCTATTCCAAATGATCTAATCAAATTGGTAGAAGACCTAAATGCGTGGAACCTGTTTCCGTGGGGCTCGTATTTATGGAAAGCTACATGGAATAAGTTATCGTCTGCCTTGGATGATCGAAAAAGTTTGCATGGCGATGGTTCCAAATACACTTTGACAGGCTTTATTTGGGCCTTTAAGGTAAGAATTTTTATATGATGTTTCCAAAATTATAAGTAATTATTTAACAATTACTAATGTTGTTATTATATTGTTTGTAGATTTGGATATTTGAGGCCTTTCCCGCCATGAAGACATATGCAATAAAAACTTCAAATGATATTCCCAGGGCTATTTCCTGGAAGAGGAAACTGACCTTGCAATGGGAAGATTTACTACGGTATACGACAATAAATAATGTAAGTTAACATAAATACTACCATATGTTTATAAACAAGTTATTACTAGTACACGTTTAACTTTGTTTGAGCTTTTATATTGTTAGGAGGCCAACACTCCTCTACAGAAGCTGACACCCACGGAAGCTGAGCTTGCCACTGATTGGTGGCAAGCTAGTAAGCGTTTTTTTGATGGAACGGTTGATGAGCAGCCTCCACTTCGGGAGCCATCACCTCGCCCAGAGCTATCACCTCACCCAGAGCCATCATCTGATCGACCCGGCTATACACCTCCACAACGACAGCCATCACCTATTCTGTCACATCATCGAGCCTCTTCTCCACCATCATAGCAAGATAGGCGATCGACAAAGATGCCACGACGTTTATCTCCCTGTTCTCCACCTCCACCTCAACGGGATGAGTTAGGGGAGTTACGTGATGAGGTCAATGCCTTGCGTGAGGAGGTCGGTACTTTACGCAAAGACGATGGTGCATGGCGTGTTGAGGTGTCTACATTACGCGGTGAGGTAGCCGCTCTACGTGAGATGGTAGCATCGTTGCAGAATGAGGTTCATACTCTACGCAACAAGGTAAGTTTAAGATTTTTCATACTCGTAATTCATTCGGTTGCTGCCAATACTGCTAAACTGTTTTTGTTAGTATTTGTTTTTGGTTTTGTTTTTGTCTTTTGGTTGAAGTAATGCAATCCATTCAAGTTTCAATTTGCAGAAGAAGAATAGTTTACTTTCGCAACACGAAAATGACTATCGCAACGCGGAAATGGCTATCGCAATGCGAAATGAAAATCGCAACGACAAAATCGCAATGCGAAATGAAATCGCAACGACAAAATCGCAACGCGAAATGAAAATCGCAATTCGATTTTGTCGTTGCGATTTTCATTTCGCATTGCGATAGCCATTTCCACGTTGCGATAGTCATTTCGCGTTGCGATTTTAAGTTTCGTGTTGCGAAAGTAAACTATTCTTCTTCTGGAATGTTATATATGTTGTCCTTTTAAATGTTTATATAAGTGCTTACTTCTGGAATGTTATCTGAGCATTTTGTGAACTATGATAGAATAATGATTTGGGTGAATACAATGCTAGTTTGAAACATATTTGTCTTTGTTTAATATCATTTCTGTTTATTTACTGATTTATGTATTAATTTTTTTAGCGGCCCGATAAGGTGGATGCTTTACGTCGGGTTTTCCTTGCACGACGGAGTTCACGCATCAGACGGTGTGGACGTGCTATTACGTCTCCGTTCACCCCAATGGTACGAAGACTCCGCAAGAAGAAGCCCGACTCACCGGTCATCCCTCAAGAGTCCCCTCCAATCGTTCAAGAGGCCCCTATTCTCCCTCAAGATTCCCCTCCCCCACCGTTCAAGAGGCCACTGTCATCGTTGAAGAGGTCCCTCCCACCATTCCAGAGCCCGATTCACATGGGGTAATATATCGAAGTATTGAGAAACCCCCACCGGTTCCGAACATAATGGATGAGAGTTGGCTCTCGTATGAGTTACCGGCTAGTACCCTTCCGGTATCTGAAGTGGAGAGGAGACAACTACCGGAAACAATTGTGGATAATACCCTTTGGGCTAAGACCGCAGTTGATTTTTATCTACATGAGCGGAGCCAAGGGTGTTACACTGACATCAGCAAACTCAACGATGAAATGTTTTTGTTGCTTGATCGGTCTTGGTGGGGTGTGCTATTAGGGGTTGAAGACAGTGGCTATTTGGACGGGGAGGTAAGTCTTATATTTGTCTTATATATGATTTTGATTAATTTGTTTAAAAATTAATGTAATTCACTAATATATGTATTTTTTTGTAAAACAACATATCGATGTGTGGGTGTCACGTCTACTAATAATAAGGAAGCTTAGGAAAAATAAAAAAATTCGCTATATACAATA